AATTGCCTGGTAAGGTGATGAGAGTGAATAAGAAAGAAACCGCTACATAGAAAATGTAAATCCATCGAATCATCTAAAGAAACTATCTAAAAGAAAATATTGAATTCTGAAAAAATTACAAATAAAAAAAAGCAAATAAACAAAGAAGGTAGAATTCTATTAGCTACCATATTCAACCTCGGATTAGGGTTGGAGGAGGGAGGTGAACAAACAAGGCTATGGTTGCTTGGTTTGAAGGGAATCAGAAGGAGAGAGAGGAAAAGTCTAAATATAGTTCATATCTCTGCCCCACAACATCTCACTGTACATTCCTACCGTGTTTTGAGAACATCTCTTAATGATGACATTATCGGTTCAGATATTGGGAGATGTTCTTGCAGGGATGTGCTGCGGGATGGGTCCAAATGTAATAGGCATGTTAGATAAGCACAATGAGTGAGCATATAAAAGTTGTGTGACACATGTCCCAATTATTGTGCCTTTCATCCAAACGTTTTTCTTCCATTAGACAGAAATTATCCATTATTTTATTATCCTTGTCAAAATAATTAAAAATAAAAACAATGAAAAAGGAAAACCTAAACGTGTTGAGAGTTGGGACCCGTTTATGTTTTCCTTTTTCATTGTTTTTTATTTTTAATTATTTTGACAAAAATAATAAAATAATAAATAATTTTTGTCTAACGGAATAAAAATGTTTGGATGAAAGGCACATTAATTAGAACATGTGTCATACATCTATTACATGTTCACTCATTGTGCTTATCTAATGTGTCTACTACATCCGAACCCGGGATGAAGAGGCCCTTATGGGGCAGAGATGTGAACTCAAATAGAGATATTAATAATGGGACCCATCATGTATAAGATGTGTTAGATTATATTGATAGAGAGTTGAAAGGTGTTTTATTGGTAGAGGATCCGGACGCCATGGATGGACCATTTGAAAACAGGCCACACTGAATAACTCCTTCCTTTTGAGTTGTATTGTGGACTATTCCACGTGTGGATCAGACCACAATATCTCATAAAATCTTGGCCACACTTATTTATTATGGCTCCTTCCATGCAACGGTGGTTCACATTCAATAAAAGTTATGCAGTGCTTTACACTCATCTTTGCTCTACCATTTTTACTGCGGTAAATCTCTCTTCTCTTGCACTCAATTCAGAGACCGAATCTATTACTCACTTAAGGCGCTTCACACGTGCTTTATACGCACATCCTACCATGCATTGGGAATATCTCCCATACTTACAAGTTAGTAATTACGGGAGATGTTCCCAATGCACAGTGGATGTACATGTAAGGTGCCCAAATGTGAGGAACAGATCCCGTTCCCTCAATTCATCACCGAGTGAAGTGTGGCCAATTTTACATGACATTTTGCTTGATAAGAACTCTTTTGTCTCAGCTGAGTTCAATCACATTTCCAGGAATTTAAGGCCCTCTTTGTTTTTACGGAGCAAAATGGTACAAGAAAAACAAAAAAAATGTGTTTCTGTGTGAAAACAATACCCAAAGAATGTGTTCTTTGGGAGTGAAAAATTGATGCTCCCAAAGAACGCGTTCCCAGGGAACGCATGGTTCCCACAACGTTAACCCTTATTAACGAACATGTGTTAACGACTTCCACATGAGAGAAGGGGTATTTTGGATATTTTGCATTAAATGATAGGAAGAAGCTCTATTAAACATTTTTCGTTCAATAGTAAACTCCTCTAATTTGTCGTTGTAAATCTCAGAGGAAGGAGGGATTCCCTTGGCTCCAACCGAACGGCGAGCAGACGGTAGAAAGCACCGATGAAATTTCCAACCAGGAACGCATCAACAAGTATGTTCTCTCGTCATCGTACCTAATTTTGTATCGTGTGCTCTGTTTTAAACTCACCTTTTCTTCGGCCAGATTCACCTGAATTCGTTTTTGCTCCCACCGCAAAGATGAGTTTTAAACAATCTCTAATTAATGTGACATAAAATCGTATTCTTATATTATTTTGTTTGCATTTGTTATATGTTATGCTGGATGGATGTGGTTTTTTTTTCTAATCCAATCGATGGTTATATGTTATGCCGAATGGGTGGGGTTTCTTCTCTAATCCCATCGTTGTGTTTTGCTATGCCTTTTGTTATATGTTGAATATCATGAAGATTGTCCTTTGTTATGTGTTGTGAACCTTGTCCATGTGTTGGATTGTTATGTCTTATGTATTCTGTTACTAATTTGATGCAGGATGAACATTTTAAATTTGAAAAAAAAATAAAATAGATAAAATAATGAAGGAATTAGTAGATCTATATGAATGAAAACATAGGAGAACTACTGGGAATCGACAACTGATATTAAAGAAGCAAGTTTGGTATTGGTACCAAATAAAGAAGCCAAAGGTTAAAATTTTTAGTTTGATGGATTAAGTTCCATACAAAAACAAGTATGATATTTGTTAATGTTTTTTTTTTTTTTTTGTTCAATGGATTAAGTTCCATACAAAAAACAAGTTTGGTATTTGTTGATGAATTTTCAAAACTGATGTTAAGAAATTGTTTCACTATCCAAACGCTATTAAGAAATAAAATTCTTGTTCTAAAACAGGAATTTCTAAAAGAACAGGAACAGATGGGAACATTGTCAAACAGGGCCTAAGTTATCAAAACTCTAATGTTGTTTTTGCTTGATTAATGAACATTTCATCTTTTTTTTTTACCAAAGAAAAACACTCATCATTGTTGAAAAGTCTTCACTCACCACCACTTTCAAAGGGTGAATCAACCAGCGTTGCAAGTACCTCCGCTGCAAAATGCACCTTGCCGCAGCTTTGAGCTTCCATCACGAAATCAGCTTTGGTTAGGGCAAACCTATGCTCACACCGTCCCAACAGCCTCTTGCAACCTTGCATTGAGAATATCTCCCCATGAAATAAAGCACATCAGTACGGAGATATTCCCAATGCAAGGCTGTAAAAGGCTACTCAAACGGACATTGCCTTGATGGAAGTTGTTCCATCACCGTTGCGTTGCAAGCACCTACATGCATTAATGCCATTGCTAGGATCGTCTACCATTGCGGCCTTGAGCTACCACCATTGGTATATTTTTTCAATCTTACATGCGCTATCTCTTCGTTCCTTCCTTTTTTTTGTGATCTCCATGTTTTTTTTTTTTACTTTTTTCGGAGTTAAAAAACAAAATTTCCTTTATCAGTTATAAAATTGTTTTACTTTTTTATTATTTTAAATTTCTTAATTATAATAATAATAATAATAATTATTATTATTATTATTATTATAGTAATAATAATAATAATAATTTTATTCTTGGTCAACAATGGAGATTATCATTTTTTTGATAGAAAATAATGGAGATTATCTCAATGTTACATGTGAGATACCTGAAATCAAAACACAAAGTGTAGATTGAATTACATGCTACCTTACAAAATGCCTATGGGGTATGGTGTTGATGATAACACACCATTTAACTTCTCATCCACACTACATAGCACCCCTTAGTTGTTGCATATTGTACAAACTCCCTCTATACTTTTTGAATCTAGGTCAAATTTACATAGTTTTTTAGAAATAGGCTGATATCTCCTTTCACACATGTTTACTTGGTAAAGACCTTATGTGAACTAATAAGCTGCCTTTCATTATTTTTCTAAAGGGTAAAATACATAAACCTCCCCTGAAGTTTCTGACAATCATAAAAATCTCACTTATAGTTTCATTTTAATAAATACCTCCCCTGAACTTTTGAAAAACTCAACAAAAACCTCCCTTCCGTCACTGTCCCAAACGACGGAAAATGTTAGATTGATGCCTCAGTTCTTTCCAAATACTCATTCTACCCTTTTATAAATTATTTTACATACAAAATTACTGAAAAGAGGTTTTTGGAAAAAACTGGGGTATCAATCTAACGTTTTCCGTTTGGGATAGTGATGGTAGGGAGGTTTTTGTTAAGTTGTTCAGGGGAGGTATTTGTTAAAATAAAACTATTGGGGAGGTTTTTATGATTGTTAGAAACTTTAGAAGAGGTTTTTGTAATTTACCATTTTCTAAAAGACACCTTGTATTGTAATTTGTAATTTTGTATTTTAATGTCCAAAATACCCTTGTCTTAGGTGGATCCTAGAAGTATGAACAATTTAAAACTATTTAGGCCCTATTCACTTTTTAGTAAGTTATTTACCCGAGTAAATGCAATTACCTAAGTAAGTTTTTATTGGGAAACACTTCCACGGGTAAGCACATTTATCCATGTTCTTTTATTTCATAGATAAATAAGGTAATAACCATTTTAACCATAAGAATCTATTATTAAAAAGCATTTTTGTCCCATTCAAGTGTTCACAACTTTTCTCAAGTGATACCTAGTAAAATACACTTTTCCTCGATCCTCACATAAATCTGAAAAAAGAACATGAGGTTCTTGGTCAATGGGAATCAAAATACCATTGACCAACTTTCCCCCTCTCAAAATCCATAAAAAGAACACCCATATAAAAAAAGAAATGATGCTATAAAAAGAAAGGGGAAGAGACTATTTTCGACAAAACAGAAAGGGCGTTATAAAGCTGAGGTTGGAGATCTAAGAAAAGACCTTTGTTTTTCTTCCATGAATAGAAAAATTTGATCCTATTCATGTTTGAGTGGTTTTTGGATATTGGGCTATATGTGTAAATAATCTACATATTTGTGTTGTACTCTTACCAAACCGAACCTTAGATGTAATGCTTTCAAGATCACATCTGCGTGCATTGTCAGTGGGAGATGTTCCCTATAAACGGTTGGGATATGCTGTGAGGGCGCAGATGTGAATTCAATGCTTTCATGTATGCTCCACCGATATGGATTAGTTCGATGGGCTTCAATCATAGAATGGATGGGCCTTGGCGACTAATCCCCCAATCCCATAATAAATGGGCTTTATTTTTTTAGATTCCAATCTAAAGGACAAAAGAAGTGATTCCAACATCAGGGATTCAGGGCTTTATTTTTTCTCAGTGCCGCGGTGCCACCAAAAGCCTAGAATCTCCTTCGCGACGGAGCTCAGATTCAGAAGAAAGAAATTTGTTAGGGCTCTCTAACTCTAAGCACCCCATTTTTTTGAAGGTAAAAGAAAATCAGGGAGATGTTTCTGGGAGGGTTTCCCAGGAAGCCTGACAAGGCGGCGGCACTGAAGCAGCTAACGACGCATGTGACGATATTCGGGATATGGGTGGCCGTGGTTCGAGCCACCCCTTACGTCCTTCACTATCTCTGCGAAGAAAAGGAAGAGCTCAAGCTTGATCTCTGATTCTCTCCTCCAAGATTTAAGAGGTAAGGGGAAAGAAGAAAGAAAGAAAGCCAAATTTCTTTCACTTTTCATTTTCGTTTCTTTCTTTTCTGTTTGTTTATGTTGCTATAGGTTAACGATTTATGTAAGCTCCCTTCTACCTCTTGTTTGGCGTTTAAATACACCTACATTGTGAACAATCTTTGGAGGCTTTCAATTTAATACGACAAGGATGTAGTTCATGCACTAGTTTGAGTTTATTAATTAAGTGCGGCAGGTTGCTCCTATAGCATTCTGAAACCCTAGGATTAAACTGTCCATTTTTCTCCTTAATTTCTGGTTAGACTTCTTTTAAGGAAGTTGTTTTACTCCTATGACATTCTGGAAGATGTAGCTATCGGAGTCCAACGTATATTTTCTTGTCCAACTGTTTATCGTTATTTGTGCTAGTAAAATAAGTCATTATTATAAGGCAATCATTGAACCTTGACTAGGAAATGTCATTATGTAGATTGACATTATTTGTATGAGTAAAAGGTTGATATAAGCAGACAGTGATCTTAAATTTTAGAAACATTTCAGTTCCTTCTTTCTTCTGTTAGGCAAGTGATTCATCGATTAATTAATTATCATAAGCAAGGTCTGTGTTTAGGTATCAATTTGTGGTGATTTCTGGCTATCATCTCATTAATTATGCACCATCACCTGCACGGCATATTGCTGAACAATTATCAAAATTAAAATTATTGTATAGACGTTTTTTTAATGGGGACAAACGGGGGTGTCAATGCCCTCAACAAATACCCTTACATGTCAAGGACGTTTCTTGTTTCAAGCCAATTGTTTCTGTTAGCTTAATATGTGCAATCAGTTTTTAATTTTTTTTTCTTTAGGTTCTATTTGCTTGAACATAAAATACGAGTTGATATTTTTCATTCTAAAATATTTGAGCTATATTATATTCTCAGTTTGCAATGAAAACTTTGTTTTGGGAGGAAAAGCAAACTTTTGCTATAAAAGGGTGAAAATAGTAGCTGAAATATTTCAACCAAGGTTCAAAATATTGATACACCCTGATATGCCGTAAGGGGTTATCGATACTTTGAACCTCATGCTTTTTATTTAGCTTTCTTTTTTTAATTCAAATTTCTCTGTGGAGCCATTTTTAACAAAGGGTTTCTTAAAATGCCTTAAAATGGGCAGATGGCTGAACATAAGATACAAAACCATACGTCAACCTGAAAGATTCTATACCCATTTTGTGAGAAACAAATGGTGCCTTATGTTCATATAGATTCAGTACTTCTAACACTTTTAAGACAAGCTAAAAGTTTTTGATGCTCTCTATCAGTTTGTTGTGCTATGGTACCTGATTATTTCTTCAGTCATATGCAACTATCAAAATGCGACACCTTGTGTGCTCTGGTGTTCAGATACCTTGTGACACCTTGCAGGTCATTTGGTTACGTGCTTGTGTATTGCATTATAGCATTCATTCTGGCCTATAACTAGGTAGGCTATGATTCATTTCTACATTAAGCTTTTGGAGTAAATGAATGTCCTTAGTGGGCAATATGGCTGTGATTGCATTGAAGGTTTTACTCAGCCATCTGCTTCAAAACAGGCATGAAATTTTGTTTGACCAATAGGTTCTGTTTTGTGGTCTCTGGATATAGTCATTGCAGCAAGTTTGTGGAGTCTTTTATTATTCTTCTGTTTCTTCTCTATATTTTTTTGATCAGTAATTTCTCTTTGTTTTGAATATTTTGTCTCTTACCTTTCTTAGTTATTTCAAGATTTGTTATACTGAATACTTAGTACTTAAATTGGGTCAAGCAACCAGTGCCAGTAAAAAAAAAAATTCAAATTTTACTTGGTAGATGAATCTAATATGTTGAACCTTGAATAAGATTATAGTTCTGTGGCTGCTTCTCCATTTTCATAGTCAACTCAACAAGCCCTCACAATCCGTATAAGGGTTCAGCTACATAGGCCCTGTTTTGGGACTCCTCTCTTTATTTTCACACAATTCAATTAAAGTGCTTGAAGCTCTCTTTTTTTGAGCCTGATTTCCTTTTTGTAAGAATAGCATAGTTTTTTTTGTTGGGTTGTTTTTCAGAGGCTGGCTTTTCTGAGTTCTTCTGTCCATTTCTTCTGTACACTCTCTTATTGTACATGGGCCTTTTGTATCCTGCCCTTTGGTTATTAATGAAATACTTTACCTTACAGTTCTCAAAAAAAAAAAAAGAAGAGATATGGAATGATATTCTTTGGACAGGACTCAGTTTCATACTATTGTAAATGTTTCTAAATTCTATGCTGGAGTGATTTCTTTTTGGTATATTAATTAAGATTTGTTGCGGATCTCTATCATTTATCTGTTTTTGTTAGCTTTGTTCTTTTTTTAGTTTCTGATTGTGCAACTTTCTGTTCCTCTGACTTGTTAACTACTTCCTGGATGTAAAAATTTCAATATTTGTTTATTCCAAAGTCCTAGAAGTGAGTTGTTATTAACTTTCTTTTTGTTAAATTTCCAAGCCCTAACTTTATTTTGTTTTATTTTAATTTTTTGTAGTTAAAAAGAACCCTTCCTGCAACACCAATTATACACCTGTTTCCTAAGGCCTAATCTCCGCCATCATTAATGGGGCATTTAGTTCCATATAGATAAATAGCTTTTCTATTGATACCAATTGATGATTAGTAGAATAATAGAAAAGTATCCTTGGTTTCCAATCTATAAAATAGCTTTGATAAGTACTCATGTTCAACTGTTCAAGTAAATTATGCTTAGTTAGAGCAATTTATAATTGATAATAAGTAGCTTGTTTCATTAGTTGCTTTTGATAAGTAACTTACTACAAGCCTACTGAACTAAATGCCACCTAAAAATCCCCATAGCCTGTCAAGTGTCAACAAAACAAAACAATGGTCACAAATAGGGATCCCCACCCAAAAAGCAAGCCTCAACACTGAATAATTACCATGAATTACCAACCCATTTGACCACTTTTCACCTTCTTTCTCTTCTTCTACCCCTAGTACTATTACAATGAGTGATCATAATCTTGAAAGCCTCTTTGACAGGTTTATACGTCTCTATGTCAAGTTTTCTTTGTTGCCTACCTTGTAACACTCCCTGTTTAATCCAGGTTACATGGAGGATCTTGAATCTTTTTATTGATCTTGGCCAAACACAGGTCCATATGCAGTTGCCTGATAAGCTGTCTCTTCCTCTCACAAGTGGTGCTCTTTTTCTTCTAAATGTAGCATTGGGGAAAACTGGAAAGGTGGCACCCCTAGAACAAGTAAACCAGGTCGTTTTACCACTTTCACATTCACCTCACACTAAACAACCTGATCCATCAGAAGATGGTCAGTAGACTTGCGTGAATGGCAAACCTTGTCAATTTGGATTTCCTTTTTCTTGCACCAAACAACTAGGAACCTGTCATTGCTTTAGAAACAACCTTTTTTTAAGGGGTTTTTACCATCCACTCCACCTCAATTCATAATTTGATCGTACAGTTTGGGTCAGTGTCAAGGGGGGGGGGGAAGATTCCCAATTCAGGAGGGAGATGCTATTTATAGGGGGAGCTGGGATTAAATACATTTGGGAAAATAATTTCCCAATTCTGAGGTGGAGTGGACTATAAAAAGGCCTTTTTTTAATTGCTCCTTGTGAGCATGATTGATTATTTTTGGAGGAAGAAATCTGGGAGGCTCACTACTTTAACTATTTTGGGTTGTTCTTATGCAAAACTAAAATATTCATATACTTGTACCATAAATTACATCAAATGGCTTTGGTTCTTTATGTGCTATTTTATGATCCTTCTGTGCAGAAGATTGGTAAGAATTCCTTTCTACAGGAGATCTGGTTCTTCATCTCTGTTTGGATTTTAAATAGTATCAACTTGCATTCTGAACATTTTCTTTGGCTCCAGAAATTGTCATTGGATATTAGATATTTGCAGCCTGCACATTGCATTTTGAGGACTCAGCTGGTCATCAGATTTCTGATGATTTTCCTTTTACATTAATACATTTGTTTCATTGTTCTGGATGATCTCAACTGTTTTGGCAGGCACTTTTAGCAAGCAAGATCCTTAGCTACTAGCTTTTGCAGCCTTGAGTGTACCATATGATAAACTTGGTGAAATTCCAAGTATCTTAGTACTGAAAAAATTCTGAGTTATCTTAGTACCCTTTAGGTTCTGTTCCACCACCACCTACTTTGTGTGCATGTAACTCTTTGGCAGTTGACACTGATAAAAGAGAAAGAAAAGGAAAAGGAAAAAAATTGTACCGTTTGACTTTAAACTAATGGGATACTTTTATCATGTGTTTTGGCATAGTGACGCCTACTCAGCTGTTGAGATGGTTATGCTGGTTTGATGATGTATTGTCTATGTAAAAATTTTAGCTAGTGAGCCAACTCTAGAGGGCATTTTGGTCCTGCCAACTTCACACACTTCTCTTGTGTTTTGTAGAAAAAGGGACCAGTTCCTGTCATTTCCAAATTCTCCATATGTGCAAGGTGGGTGGGTGGGGTAGAATAGGGGAAGGGGTAAGACAAAGGTGTTCCCTCTTATTCTTAGTGTGAAAAACATGGTCCCCCCCTCCTTCCCTTTGTGTGTGTTCTGTACAATTGAACATAATAGGGTGCTTCACCATAGTTGTCTACTTGCCTCTTGAGATCTGATACTAATACATCTAATATGTCTATTTTCTATATGCAGAAATGCATTGTTTAAGACTTCAACTTTTCATACTCTAAGAAAATGCATGATTTTTAGTGTAGATTGCTGCCTTGTCCTATGGAGTCATATTATTTAATATGAATTTTTATGTGGCTTTTATATTTATTGCATTTTTGTATCTATATTTTTTAATTTTTGAATATAATATAGTACTCAACCCAACCCTTCAAAGCCTTATCCAAACCATATGGGGTTGTACATATGAATCTTTTTTGCCTTGGATGAAAATATACCGAAAACTCATGGCCCACTTAGCCAAAAGTGGTAGCGCATGTGACCTACCTAGGTAGGTGTTTCAAGTGAACATGGCACCATCCTGCTGTTTTGCCTTTTAGACTTGAGTTTATATGTAAGTATTGAAAGATGAAAAAGAAAAGCTATTTGTATTCATAGAGACCCATGATTGTTACACTTCTAATCAAATTTCATCCTATTAGTTGCTGAACTAAGTTTCCTATTTTTGCAGTGCATTTGGAAGGAAAGGATTAGGATGGAGAAGAGGAGGCAGTGGAGCTTTGCAGAGGTTCACCATATATATAAATTTTCTTTTGTTAAACTACGACGGCCTCTGTTTATGCGGTCAACATGTCCTTCACATTTTAAATCCAAACGTTGAAGAGAAATTGTTTATGTAGTTTCTCTGATTTAAAATTTGGCATTTTGGATGCTACATAATGTTCTTGGCTTCTTGCTAACGGACCCCTGCAAACATCTCCCGTGCATGTATATTAAATTCAGAGCTGGGATATGCTTCTGTGTCTGCACATCTCACCATGAGACTGGGATCCATCATGTTTGCAAAATGCGGATACAGATCATGTGTTGAGATAATTTTTTGTTGTGAGCAGATCGGGACCTTTTAAGTTCATGAGGAGATGTCTCCAATGTCGGTGGGATTCCATGCTTGCAGAGTGTATCAAGTTTTTTGCTTGCAGAGAAATCTCATCACCTCAATAGGAGGGATCTTTTATTCGTGAAGCATATTCATCTAAGACTTTAAACGTTTTGAGTGATGTTACAAAAGGCTGGAGCTAAAATGGATAAAACTATATATATACGAGACAGTCAACGAGGGCGTATCAAGAGTCCACATGCAATATTATCCTGTGTACCAAAACAAAAATTAGCATGGTTCATGGTTGTAACGTTGTTTTGGCACCATCTAAAAAATGGACATTACTAAGATCCAATTATTCGATCATATGAACCCATTAAATGGTGGGCCTTGTTCTTATTTACCGAAGGTTTAGTGTTGAAGCTACCCTCTAAAGAAAGATAAATAAGAACATTTTAGCTCGAGTTTTCTGCAGCAAAGCTCTCTGTAGTTGACATGTGATGGTTTTGCCTGGTCGGAGATTTTTCAATTTTCCTCGTTTGAAATACTATGAGGACGGACAGTAACTATTAATGATCTCTGGGACTGGGAAGCATTTTAATAAAGCTGGCGATATTTGTCCACCTGTCAGCTTGCGGGCAGAGCAGCAATTAGAGAAAATATACCAAGTGGGAAAATTGGTCATGCCGTCATGGTGTGGTGCGTATGCTGTGCGTCCTTGGCTTTTGGCGTGGGGGATGCGTCAGATGTACCCACATATTGGCTGATTGTCTAGTTCGCTGCTTGGAGGAAGAATTGTATGATGGCACACACAATGATTCTGAACGGGAGGTTATTCGAAAGGCAAATTTTCTGAACAAAGCTGCATGGGAGCTAACCGCAAAAATCTCTGTTGTTCGGGCTGATCCTTGGTATCATACAAAAAAAAAAAAGATTAAGTAAAAAAATGAATGGACCGAAATATTGATCTGGCTTCATCGTGGAATCCTTTCAGTTGGATTGGGGAGTTTCAGTCGCAGCTTCAGGTGGTACATAGCACCCACATCGGATGGTTGACGATCTGTATGCGCAAAAACAGCAAGTCCACGTGCGAAGGCAAAGGATCCTGTCCCTCCGACCACCATAAACTCTTCTCTGTCCTTGTAGCCTACATTCTTAGCTTGGACACCAAGGCTACCGTAGTACTCTGGTGTGTCGAAAGTTAGATATATGATGTTGAATACAGAATGCGCGAAGTCCTCGACTGGAATGATGAAGCCTTGAGCTTTCCCAATGACCCGTGAGGTGTTTTCAGGCCCTTCCGTAAGTGTGTGATGGAATAAGAATGCTCCACGGTGAGATGGTGATGCGGGCTGCTTGCTGGGAACTGTAGTGTGTGGCTGTTGGATGTAGAGGGAGAGGGCCAACCAAGGGCTCGCCTGCTGCTTTTGTGCCTTCCTGTGGGAGACCGGTGAGACTACGGCCAAGAGGATAACCGCTAGTGTGGCTACAGAGACCGCGGTACAGAATATGACCTTAGGCAGCACCATGACTCATGAGCGGAGAGTCTGCTTTCAAAATTTCCGTATTAAGGGATCTGGTTGTAGACTTGTAGTTGGTTTGGGTCGCGGATTTGTTTTTATAAAGGATCTTTTCTTAATACGTTCCTTTTTCCTTTTTCTTTTTTTTTTTATTTGTTTATGGCCTGAGGGAATTCAGCTGACATTCTTGGTATATCTAATCTGCGTGATTGCCTAAACCACTTATGGATGCTGCGTGCCTTTTCCTGGAAATGGCTCTAAACCAGTAGTGGTTGCTAATTGCTATATAATTTTAAAAGAATACAAACAGTCGTCATCTGTGTATAGTGATTATTTGAATGAGTCGTAAAGCGTTAATGGGTTGGATGAAGGAACTATTGGAGCTAATTTAAAGCTGCCAAAGAGGGTAGGGACCCAGAAGACGAGGCTCGATCTACTTCCCCAAAACAGCAAACCTGTCCGTTTCTGTTGGATGATTATAATTCCTCTTTTTTTTTTTTTTTGGGCCCTCGCCCTTAAAGACACTTTCGCTAGACAATGTTGGATGCTTGGAGCTTGACTGACTCCACTTGCATTTTGATTCATTGTCTAAACATCATAATCTGTTGGTGATGATTCCTAACAACGTTAAGATGTATCGACTTCCATTCTAATAGTAATTCATGCGACAGTCCAATAGGATGTGGTATACCTACAACTGTAAGCTGTAGAGGTCAAGATAATCTACCTAAGCCTAATTTGTTCATATTGTTTTCTATTTTTTACACAGAAATAGTAAAATCTTTGGAACGAAACGACTCGTTTTAGCCTCTCCTAATTCCGGGTAGGACCCTTTAGACTTTCGACTTGATTTAGCCTCTATAACAGATGTTGCTCACTTTCTCTTGTCAAGTTGTCATTACCTCAGATTATGAAGAAAAAGTTGGAAGTGGTTGGCAAGGAGACTGAAGACCAAGTGTCAGCTCAACTGAACCTCCTTATGAAAGACGTTATTGCTGGAAAAGACCCACGAGCGTCCACTGGCAATTGTTCAACCGTTGCACTACAATGCTACATCCACCAACTTCACCAAGGAAATGACAGAATTGGCCTCTCATACAGGAACAAGTATCATTTATTTTCAATAGGAACCCAGAGAACAAAAGAGTCTGAAAGAGGAGAGCTTACATTAAAGAAGAATCAATATAAACGCCTCAATTGTACCTCTTAAAATGAAGTTCTAGCCTCTCACATGTTCTTTTAGGCTTCCAGTTGCAGCACGTAAATGTCCAATTGCCTAGCCTGGCATGTTCTTCAATGGCTATCCCACATAAGGGGTCTATTGCAGCTACAGATTAAATTTTCCATGGAGTTAGGTATATCTAAAAGATTTTCCCGGATAGCTCCACTCTTCCAATAACCTGGTCATGTTTTGTAGCAGCAAAATTTATGCTGGAATCTCTATACGCCGTGTGTAAAGTTATATTTCGCCTTGTGAACAAAAGAATAGATAACTTAAGGTGTATATATCCCCTTTCTGTTGTGTTTATTATTGATCTCATTTCATCAGTTGGGCGAAGGGGAAATCTTGCAATGCAGTAGATGTGATGCATCTGGAGGTCTTCCGGATCAAAACAATAATTCGTCACCATAATTATCTGTATATATACTTGTTCAGTCTGCTGCCTCAAATGTTTCCTTCCTTCCTCACCATCCAAAGGATATATGGGATGATTAAGACTTGGGAGCATCAACTCATTTTTTCCATTGAACTATATGACATCTCGTAAATGGCACATATCAAATGGTGGAATCCCAACCTCAGCACGTCACTACATTGTTGAGAAGAGCATGGACTAGAGGAATAGCTACTTCCTATCCTTCAAATCTTACCTGAACATCACAAGCAAGAGCAAAGCAAATTCATGGATTACCAGAAATCTCTACAGGAACATAATCCATCTCTAAAATGGTGGAACCTCAAGTTGTCCCTCACAGTGATCTGGACCCCAATAATCTTGGACATGAACTTGATGGCATTATGACAATCTCCACATATCCTCAAGTTCTTGAAAACCCGCACCAATGATTCCCCATTGAGATTTAGTATGCCAAAAGCAACGGCAAGCCTTTCACTGTGATTACAGAGAAGCTCTTCCTTCTCCTCCTGATCTACATCTTGCAGAACAAAACCAGTGTCAGGCAAATATCCTGCTAGTCTCATCTTCTCCCTTAATTCATCCAGAAAGCGGTAGATCTCATTGCTTTGTTCATTTCTCTTGTCACCCACAACAAAAGTATGGACTCTATTTTTCACCTGAACCCAACTGCAACCTGGTGCTTTCGTAACTCCTCTGTCTCTCATCAGTTTCCTAATCTTCGAAGCATCCAGCCACATTTTAGCAGAAACAAAGATGTTAGATAACAGTATATAGTTGCCTGGATTTTCTGGTTCAATTTCAAACAATTTGTTTGCTGCAACTTGTCCCAATTCTACATTCTTATATACCCTACAAGCACCAAGCAAAGCTCCCCAAGCACTTGCAGTTGGTTCTATTGGCATTTTTTGGATAAATTCATATGCTTCTTCTAGGTAGCCAGAACGGCTGAGTACATCAACCATGCATGAATAATGATCTGCATCAGGTTCAATCAAGTAGTTTCCACTCATCGAGTAAAAAATTGAGTGGGCTTCCTGGACAAGCTGTGAGTGGCTACAACCAGACAAAACACCAGTGAAGGTAACTGAATTAGGTTTAATTCCCGAATCTATCATTTTCTGGAAGAGCAGCAAGGCCTCCTTGCCATTCCCATGCATCGAGTTTGCCATGATTATTGTGTTCCAAGCAACGGTATCCCTTCTGGGTAACTCACTGAAAACTCTTTGGGAGAGCTCCAAGTCTCCGCATTTGGCGTACATGAGGATCATGGCTGTTGCTATCATAATATCCTCAATGAATCGATGCCTGAAACTATACGCATGAATCTGTTTGCCTCCTCTTAGGCTTTCTAAATTGGTGCAAGCTGGCAATAAACTGGCAATTGTAACGTGATTGGGTTTGAAGCCTGAATCTTGCATTTGAGCAAGTAGGTATAGTGCTTGTTCGGTTTTCCCATGTTGGATGCAGCCACTGATGACGGCATTCCATGAAGCAGAATTCAAATTAACCCCTTCGCTTCTCATTCGATGGAAGAGATTGACAGCCTTTTCACAACCTCCATTAGAAAAATGTGCTGTTATAATCACATTCCAGGACACGATGTCTCTCTTTGACATATTATCAAAGACAAGCTGTGCTTGGTGGAGGCTGAAACAGTTGGCATACATATCTACAAGCCCACTGGTCACAAAGACATTCTGGGACATCCCATTTCTTAGGACGAAGCCATGAATTTCTCTTCCCAAGTTAAGATATTTCAAATCAGAAATGGCGGGAAGAATAGATGAAACGGTTACCGAGTTGGGTTTCATTCCAGTCGATCCCATTGCTCGAACAACTTGCAGGGCTTCTCCAGGGAGGCCGCAATTGACGTAACAGGCAGAAATTGAGGTCCAAGAAATGACATCCTTAGTGGGCATCTCGTCAAAAACCTTGCGTGCACCTTGAAAGAAGTTGCATTTCCCATACATATCAATCAATGCGTTGCCTAACAGAAGATCGGAAGAGAACCCAAATCTAATAGCATCTTCATGAATCTGCATTGCATTGGCAAGATGTGCAGAGGCAGCGCATGCCTTGACAGCAGCCAACAAGACCAACTTATCAGGCTCAACTTTCCTAAGTCGCAATTCCGCATAGAGTTTCAAAGCTTCTTTGGGGAAACCCTGCTTTGTATGTGTGGTAATCAAGATAGTCCAGGAACGGAGATCTGGAACTGGAATTTTATTGAATAATTGCAGAGCACATCCCAAATCACCGGAATTCACATAGCTTTTAATGAATTTTAGACTAATATTGGGAGGAAGACAGGTGGGCACTTTTGAGGGCATCACATCAGCATTCAGCACTCAGCCGAGCACAGGATTGTAAATTGTAATTGAGAAGAGATGTTGGGCCTTGGGGCACGGCATGCAGAGATTAGTGGAGGCCGGAGGGAAAATTGAGAAGAGAAGAGAACGGTCTGGTCTGGTGAGCGGCGAATGGTGTCTGCCAGCTTGTAAAATGTTTTGACGAGGGAGGGTATCTTAGTCATTTCAGAACAAAGAAACACAAGGGTCTCTCTCGCTCGCTCGCTCGCTCTCGTTTAGCCCTCCAATGGGATCTATAAAAAAGTGACACGTGGAAACTGTATTTCAATTTTCAACACATTGTCATGGTCCATGGATTCAGTGGTCCAGGATCCACAGACAGGTCCACCATATTATTGAACATCGATGACACACTGGGTTTCGGAATCTGGACCAACCTCTTAAAATGGGCCAAGTCTATAGGCTAAAAGAATGGGTCGGTCTGTTGAGAAATGGCCTAATCAAAACCTCACCAGTCACCAGTCACCAACCTCCGGTAGAAATTGTTATGAGTAAGTAAGAAAACCGTAACCGCAACAAAAACGCGGAAAAGGAATTAGGATTTGGGCAAAACCAGGATTGAAGATCGTAAGTTAAGCGATGCTCAAGTTGGTGGGCCCCCAAGCCCAATGACGTTGGTTGGTAAGTATATATTCTCTTGCTACATTCTTGAATAAATTCCAATTCCAAGTGTTTGTATTTGTATGGTTCTGCGACTCCAATTAGTCTTCGTTAGAAGTTTAAATTTGTTTGGTGGTCAATGGCACTACTACCCTTGTAGAAAAGAAGAAGTTCCTTCATCGTTGGATGAGAGAGAGAACAAATAGAAAGATTAAAATACAAGGACGTGATGGTAATGACTCGTCAACTGAACTGAAGCAATAATCCACATGTCGGCAGCTAAAAGCCCACAAAAAAAGCTACACATGTTCTGATTTATATATATTCATTTATCTTTTTCTCCAAGTGTGCAACTCGGATTAGCTGAACCCCCATGGCTGTTTAGCGAGCTGTTAGCTGGTTAGTTCACACATCCATCTCATGGATGGAAGATCAAAGGGCCCATTACAATAGAAAAATAATTTATCTCCTTTTTAAGTTGATGGTAAAAAGAAATTAAAAGTTGATTCAACGACAAACAAAAATGAAAAATGTATTCCACGACTCTTCAACTCCGACCCCCTAAAACTCGCCGGAAGGCCAAAAATACACCATATGTGCTACCACCCGACTCACAAGCAAACGACGAGAGAGAGAGAGAAAGAGAAGTCTTCCATTCTCATTAACGTTTATCTTCTGTCTTAAATGTTTCCTTTCCACACCTCTTACTCTGTCTGTGAATGGAAGTAGTAGTAGAGAAAAGATATAACAGAAGCACAGAATTCTAAGTTGATTTTCTTCCATAAAGCCTTCCCGGCCTTTGACTAGTTTGGGGATCTCTGTTCCTTAATTTCTATTTCCTAATTTAATTTGCTCCCCTGTTCTTTCTCTGCTCCTCCTCAATTAATTGCACAGATTCACCTCTCATGAGGAGCTTCACATGGAAAAGTTTGACAATTGGACGGCCACGATGATCTTGCTTTGCAAGGAAAGGAACAATAATCCCAGCCGGAGAGATCCCATGCACCATGGACGACGAACTACCTGGGTCTTTCGGCACAAGCGCCAGCTTGTCTCTGCGATTGGGGCAAGCCATCTTCTCCTCCGCCTCTCTTCTCTTCATGTCTTTGTGTGTCGAGTTCTACAACTACACCGCTTTCTGGTACACTCTTCTCTTCCTCCTCCTCTTCTTCTTCTTCTTCTTCTTCTTCTTCTTTATGAATGATTACAAATAAAAGAACCGATCCAACATACAGTTGCTTGAGTTTTTCGATATGTAAAAAGTACAAAATCCCTGGTTTATTAAAATTACCCAATTCATCATCCTCTTTATGCTGTTCCGTGCGAATGGAATTAAGAGAGATTGAGGTGATGTTGGAGCTGTGGCATTAAGATCCAGTGGGGAGTGGGTACTTCCCCACTCTGTGTTCCCATTTTATCTGTTGTTCAGTTCTTTTTAATAAAACAAACAGAGCCAAGGAAAAAAACACATGTTGTTTCTACATCTCCCTTGTTCCAGAGCATACGCTTGTTATTGTGAACTTCATATTTTTAGTAGATATATCAGTTCTCGTGTCATCTTCAGCTAGCGACAGAAAGAAAAAGGTCAAATTGCATCTAGGAATTGTAATTTGATACTAGTGCATCAGAGGTCTATGATGTTGCACCGAGTACAACCATCGAAGTAATCAAGTTTGGGTGGTTGGAATGATTCAAAAATGATAAACCATCGACTGGAGAAACTTCCATTCTTTCTGATAGAACAAAAAAGGTTAATTTCATTCCTTCAACTGCAGGAAGGTATAGAGAAACGAGTGAAATAGAAGAGAAGATTAAGTCTGCATTGCTCACATAACGTCTTTGGTTGTTTATCTATAACTCTCTTTACAAAACACCCAAGAATGAATTTCTGACTAGAACGAGAAAATGGCATACTAAAATACGCAGATCAACTTCTACTACCTGGAAGACTTCAGACTAAATACACTACTCCGAGATGATTGTTGATGTCCATATTAGAAATTGGACAGGAACTAGGAATAGCCACCATAGGAGTACAATGCATGGGACTCTGTTTAGAGGCACCTCCTTCCCCCACAATTCTATCCATAAGGTAGGCAGTAACTGTGAAATTCTTCTCTGATAACTGCCATTGGTGGTAGTGTGGTACTCTTTCTGAAAGGCTACTTCAGAAAGGACTAAATAAGTCAACTTTATCATTTTTCCTTTTCCTTTTTCTGATTTTCTATGGTCCATGAAGTGACTCTTAGTCTCTAAATCATACATAAATCAATAATGTCTTTATAATGAAGGTATGCTTCCCTGAATACGCTCAGTCAAGACTTTTAGATTCAAGTTTGTTCAAATACCTTTAGGTTTAGTCTTTTTACTTTGGGGCATGCAATCCCCAAAGTTTTATTGTAAGCAAGTGAAGTAGTGCAGTTGTTATGATCTCAAGTTAAAAAGTGAAGATGTCAGAACTGAAGATTGTAAATATTCTCTGAAATTGAATAAAATCCTTCTAACAAAGTACCATCCCCACCCCAAATAAATAAATAAAATAAAGAGCTTCTAGAAAAGGAGGATTTTCTCTCAAATAAGCACACAAGAGGCTGCCATATTTATGAAGTTGTCTGAGAACTCGAATTTGGAATGCAATTACCCACCCAAGATATCCATCAAATGAAGACAAAAGTTTTTCTGTCTTTTCATATTTCTTATGTAATTGTCTGTAAATCATATATATGAATTGGCAGCTATTTAGTGACAGTCATGGGTCTGGTAATTCCATGGAGTTTCACATTGGCACTGGTGGATGGGTACTCGGTCATTGTTGGTTGCCCCCTTCGCCAACCAGGAATTCTACTGATCATAATCATAGGAGATTGGGTATGCGCCCCTTTAGTTACATCGACAAACAATTAATCTTATCATCCACCACTTAACTGTGACTAAGTTATCATTTCTGCCACAGGTTCTATCAATTCTCTCACTAGCAGCAGCTTGTGCAACAGCCAGTGTTATAATTTTCCTGCTTGAAATTGGTGGAGCTTACTGCCCTCCAAAGTTTTGCAGTAGATATCAGCTGTCTGCTGCAATGGCTTTCCTATCTTGGTTTCTATCTGCAGCCTCATCATTGTTCAATCTTTGGCTGCTCCCTTCCCTGTAATTCTCATTTTGATATTTTCATTTTTTTTTTGTAAAAACCATTATGTATACTGTTAAGTGGATAATGTTGAGAAATCCAAATACAAATAATGAAATAGTACCATTCAAAAGTAATGCCATTTTTTCAGAAATAGAGAAGAATATGGCTGGAGCTGCAAGAAATCAGGCAAGATTTTTCTGATATGTCCTCGTATATTGTATGGTTATAGTCATGATGTGATGTCTCACAATTGTATGGTTAACTTAAGTGTTGCTGTCCTGTCAAGTACCGTAAAAAATTAGGGTAACTTGAATAAATGAATATTTGTAATCTATCGTAAATACCAGTCATTTAACCCACAGGAACACATACATAAACTAGAGCTATATCTGTTTTGAAAGGATTTGTGTGAAACAAAAATGGGAAAGAGATAGAAAAGAAATCCTATCATTCTAAAAGAATCAAGTAATATATATTGCTCTCACCTTTCTGACTACTAATTATTGAAAATCATACAAAGTAAAAGAAAAAATAAAATAAAATAAAAGGGCAGATTTTTTTTATCGTTTTAGCTTGATTAACTCTACCCTTGGTTTTTATATATTGTGCTTACATTTTCTGACAATTGATTAATTACCCCTACCACTAGGGCTCCACCACGTGACTGTTATATTTTAGAAAAATGACAGTAATGCCCTCAAACTTTGCTTTTGTCTCTACATTTAAACAAGCCTTGGAAAATCTCCGTCGTTCTCCCCTGCATCCAGTCAAGAGGCAATGTGATTAATGCCAAGACGTCACTTGCCATGGCTGCGAACTGCCACCACTGTCTTCGTATCCAACTGGAAGATGCCACCGTTGCTGCTCTTATTATTTTTTTTTTTTTCATTTTCTTTGGATCCTTTACGTATTCCTCTGCAAAGTGCAGACACCGTTGTTGTCTTTGTACCCGAAAGAAATGAAATTGGATAAATTTTTCAACGATGGGAACTGTTGTTGCCACGTCTTGTAAAATTTAAGCAAGTTAATCTCCACCACTACTATAATCAGATTGGTGATTTTATCGTTCATGAACCGACGAAAAGAATCCCCATCTTGACTTTACAATCTACACCCACGCAGCCCATACCACTTTGCTTGTTCCCTTTCTCATATATAATACACCATACATTGAACTTAAACAGACAGAATAATCTCGTTTAATAAACCAATCTCTTTTAGTCTGAAGGGGCATTTTAGGAACATCAACAGTAGCAGAAAGAGGAAAGTAGAATCTTGTGAGCGGTAAATAATTCTTGAAAATTTTTATCAGTTGAGTTTTATTTTAAAAATTTGAGAAATAGTGAAAGGCAATTTGACATTTCTTTTTTTCCGTTAATGCTCAAAGACAATGTCAATTGTCAAGAAACAATAGGAGTTCTTTAAGATAATTTGTAAAGAGTAAGGGTAAAGTTATTAACTAAACAGTAGGGGGACAATTTAAGAAATTTGCCCAAAATAAAAAACATATCTGATTGAAAAAATAACACAATTAGTTTCATTGACGCTTCTGGCATTTCTATGTTATTTTGTCTTTTAATTTGCCCAAAATAATTGGCGTGTTAAATGCGAAGAAAAGGTGGGACAACAGTAAATCCCATTCATTAATTGATCAATCTAGCAAGTATCATGTATAGAGAGGTTTCTTCAGGTAATAATGAAAATAGCCTAGAATTCAGGAGAATAACCTCAGCAATGACATGTGACAGGAAGTGACACAAATTTCATTAACTTCAATACTGTACCAGACAGTATTATATTTGCCATTTCTACAGTATCAATCAAATACAAATCAATTAATAGATTTACATGCCATCAACAGCATTCGCTTAGAATGCTGAGAATTTGAGCGTACATCTTTCTGCAAGTAAAGAAAGGCATATGCATCACCAAAGCAATTAACGTATAAATTGAAGGAACATAGAACCGTGGTGCTCCAACTCCAAGTATACTCTCTGGGGTGAGACCAAAATTGAACCACATGTTTCTCCCACCCTTGTTATCAAAGAAAAGAAATTCAAGAAAAATCCATAAAGAAAAAGGAAAGGGCACAATATCCAGTGGGTTATATGACTAATGAGAGATCATGGATGCATAACAAATAGCTAATCCAAAAGGTTCCTCGTCACAAGGTTTGTCTGGATCATCCAGATAATCTGTGCATGTGGCAGATAACCTATCATCGTGGGCTTACGGAGCCTTCAATGCCAGCAAAATATTCCTTTCACCCTCTTCCCATATGCTAGACTGAAAATTGATGCAATCTCACTTAGAGCTCCAATACAGGATATTCTAACCAATCTAGTATCTACAATAAAGCTTCCATATAAATGCCACACAAATTTGGTTACCTTGCACACACCAAGAACATATGCATTAGATCTTTTTGGCTTGCCATAAGATAGGACGTTCATTCATAAAACATTAGTTGTAATAGATAAGCACCTGGAGCAGCACAAAGTTGAGCTCTTGTGTTTAAGTCCTTCCTTGCAATGAAGCCAACTAGGCTAAAAGTGCAATCAAGTCCACTTCTTCCATTTCTGCTACTACAATGAAGATGAAAGAACTAAGTATAAGATAATGTTGCCCCATCACATGAAATGTCAATGGAACAAAATAAGAAAGGCAGAATAAGGACTTTTATGATAATCTGCTCTGTCTTTTAAATAGAAGGGAAAATTCTCAATTAGTACCTTGTACTTTGGGCCTAGTGCCACTTTGACCCCCAAACTTTAAAACACGAAAATCCAGTACCCGAACTTTCAAAACRTGCCAATCCAATACCTACCATTAACCAGCCATTAAGTGGCATTTGAAAAGACACAAATGCCACCGAGTTTCATCTAATTTTCTTTATCAACCATCCAAACACTGATAAAAAAATGAAAGTCCCAAATCCTTGCCTCTTCTATTCAAGAAAGTTGAGGTCACCAGAATGTCCACTGAGACGTAACCCCAACTTTCTTGAATAGAAGAGGCAAGGATTTGGGACTGTTCATTTTTTAATCAGCGTTTGGATGGTTGATAAAGAAAATTAGATGAAACTCGGTGGCATTTGTGTCTTTTCAAATGCCACTTAATGGCTGGTTAACGACAGGTACTGAATTGGCACGTTTTGAAAGTTTGGGTACTGGATTTTCGTGTTTTAAAATTTTGGGACCAAAGTGACACTGGCACAAAGTACAGGGTACTAATTAGGAATTTTTCCTAAATATAATTAAACTATTTTACAATAAAATAAAGGACAAAATAACGTCTAGACAAGGTGGTTGTTCCCAACTTCAAAATAGGACCCTATATAATCATGTAAATAGATAGGAAATTCTACCCAGGATTTCTTACAGATAGAAATGTCAATCATGGTTTAACCTAAGCATCAGAAGCAGAAAAGTGATCATAAGAATTATGGTCCAAAGCCCCCTAAAATTCAAAGAAAGAACACAAAGGAAGAAAAGCAAAAGAAAGGAAAAAAGCAAGGCTAATTTTTATTCTCCACCCAACAGTTTAGAGGTTTTCTGAGTCCTAATCTTATTCTCAATAAAAACCAAAAGTACAATAAAAAAAGGAAACAGATGCAGAAAGGACAGGAAAGAATATAAGCTTAATTAGGTAATATACCGATTTTTTTATTGACAGTTAATATACTAATATAACGAAGATGTGAGGTGGTTTCAAAATGCTGTGGAATTGAAGGAAAAGAAATCATACTTCTTTACATTTGCTTCTTCATCCTCGGTGAGCACATGATAAATGGCTGCAACAGAAGATAAATAATAAACATTCTTGAGTTTTCCTTTTCTTGAGGATAAAGAGGGAAGCAGGGAAAGGAAAAGAAGCCTTTTTAACAAGATCATACCATAGAGAGGATAAAATGCAAGCTAAGCAAGTTCCTTTCCCAGAGCAGCAAAGAAATTCTTGATGAAACTATGAGAACAAATTGGTTAAAAAAATCCTAATCTCTTTCCTCGGCCAGTCCAATTTCATACATCTCTGCTCTTAATTTTCTTGCTTTATCTTCATTCCCCTGTTTCATATAACCCTCAATAAAAGTATTGTACACCTTTGAATTTGGCGGGAATCCTTTCCCTACCATCTCTGCTTGAAGCTTCATCGCTTCTTCCATCTTCCCTTCGACACATAGCCCTCCTATCAGAAGCTCGTAACTTACTCTATGCGGAAAAAAACCTTGCCGTTTCATCACATCTCTTAGAAAGTCCAAGCCTTCAGAGATCCTACTTTTCTCGCATATTGCTCCAATCACATGATCAACTGTCGAAGCCTCTGGCACGAAACCTTTCCTAGACATATCCTTATACAAAAGGATTGCCGAATCAACCTTCCCAATTTTACAGTATCCTTGGACCATATGCTCATAGGTGAGGCAAGTCATCTCGATCTCACTCAGTTCCATCTCTTGGAAAAGTTTTTCTGCTCTTCCCATTTCTCCAATTTTGCATAAACCACTAATTATGGTATTATAAGCCATCACGTCAAGCTTAATTTGTTTGGTATGCATTTCTTCCCATAATTCAAGGGCTTCATCCATCTTCCCTTCATCACAAAGTGCAGCCATTAAAATACTGTAACTAAAAACATTTGGATTACAACTGAATTTTACCATCTCTGCCCAAATTTCTTTTAACCTCTCCGTCCTTCCATCTTGATAGGAGGAAAGCATCAATATATTGAATGTCTGCAAATTCGGAGCAACCTGAACCCTGAATTTACTCCCAATTTGGTAATCCACTCCAAAAACCTCTTTATAAATGGTGAAACCAGCATCACATCCTCTTAACCGGGAAACTGACTGGATCAACAAATTGCAGGTGCTAACCATGGGATAAATCTGGCGAGACCGTAGCATCCGAACGATCTCGATCGATTGATCTATTTTTTTTGCCTGCAAACATGCCCGAATGAGCAAATCAAAAACAAAAGGCGCCGAATCACATGACCTGTAGGTCTTCGCTAGGGTTTCAAAGATCTTTGGAGGCCTCAACGATGACAAATCAGAATCGTCAATGTTGTTTACTTGGGAAAGTCGCATGGCTTTTCCAATTAAGGTTTCTGATAGGGTTTTGAGGCGAGCCCTGGCGAGAATGTGAATAATGGTGGCGTAAGAGAGGAGGTCGTGCGTGCAGAGGGACTTCTTTTCTGCCCAAAGAAAGAAGCGAAGGGATAGACGGGGATTGTTCCTGAGGCGAATAATAATTTCGGAAACCTCTGCGGGAGAGAAGCCATTTGGGTAGAGGGATTTGATGAAGTTCCAACGGTTTTTCGAGCATTGCTCCCTGAGAATTGAAACTACCGATGAGACCAGGGTTTCGTTTGGGGAGTTGTGCTCATATGATGTTGATATTGACGAGAAACAAAAGGAAATTCGCGCCTGTGCGTGGTTTGGAAATGGAATGAACTTACCTCTCAAAATCGCCATTAAAAGAAGCAACTTTCAAAAGAAAAACGCGGCTAAATACTAACGAGGGAGAACGAGCTGTGATCAAATGTAGACCAAACGAGGAAGATTGGAAAAATTTTGGTAAATGCAGAGAGATTAAATTGGTGCCCCGCATGCATATCTCAGCGTGTATTGGGAACATCTCCCGGACTTGGAAGTGCTTATTTCATAAATAACTGTTTATCGTGATAAACATCCACGAGTGTTTGTTGAAAAAGCACTTATTTTAAACAGGGGTGATATAGGTATTTTCAAAATGATGTAGCAGGTCGATACAGATTCAAAAGGAAATAAGCACTTATTCAATAAATGCTTAAAATAGGCTTTAAATTTGGGCATATTTCCCACATAGAAATAAGTAAGTACTTGATGTGATTTAAACCTAAAATAAGTGTTTATTTGAATATGACTCCCAAACATGGGTTTAGTAGCTTTGATGAAAGCAGTAACAGTAGCAGAATTTAGTTATTAAGGCTGTGTTTGATTAGAAAGAATTTCCCTACCGTTCCCTTTTCTTTGAAAACAAACATGACTTAAAGCTTTGAAACAAATTTTGTAGATAAATTCTACAATGGCAGAAACTTGAATGATAGTTGCACGTAGGCTCAGCCCTTAACACCCCAATTTGTCCATTCTTAATTTTGGTACCCCTTTTTAATCAGCATTAAATATCTGGTACTTGTTGATTTTCAATAAAAGAAATAGAATAGTTAAATGGTTAAAAATACTTTTAATGCATGAAAGAAACAAAAGAATACATCTGGTACCATGGTACAGATTGATTTTTACACATTGAAAAAAAAAAAAAAAACAAGGGGTGGCAATTTTCAACCCAACCCGCTAACCCACCCAATCCAACTGGATTGGATTGTATCTATTTAATCCTACGTTTGGTGGGTTGGGTAATTAGGGGTGTCAATAGTATTTGAAAATTTAATTTTTAAATTTAAGATTTGATATAATCGAACTGTATTCGGATATCTTATTCATATCAAATAGTTAATTGGATTTGAATTCGGATATGACTTTATTTGATTTGATAAATATTTGAATTCGATCGATTATTAATTCTTATATATAATATATAAAATATTTAATTGTTTTTATATAATTTATATATTAAATAATTAAATCATATAAATAATTTATATATTTATATATTTTATATGAATAAAAATATTTATTTTATATATTTATTAATTACCTAAAACAATTAATTGGTCGAATTTAAATTGAATCAGATTTCAAATTCAGATAATGCCTGATTCAATTCAAATTCGATCCGTTTACACCCCTATAGGTAATAATGGTTTGGATGGATTGGGTCATGGTTATCCAACAGGTAACTCATAATCCTCTTCATATTTTGACTCCCCTCCTATCTTTCAATAACCCTCTTTTAAACCTTAAGGCTGCATTTGATTTTGGTGGAAAAGTCATCGCTGTAAAAGTTAGTCTATTGGTTTAAATTTTTAATGGACCATTGGAGTTCTTTATGTGATAATGGATTTATGTACATCGATTTTACATTTACATCAATTATCAATTGAAAAGTCAGTCGATTAGATGGCTTACATCATTTTTCAATGTAAACTTTACATTGGAAACAAATGTGTGAAAATATAAATCGGGTATGAAGTTTTACACTATCTATATTTACCAAGGTTTTAAAAATCGACCCAAAAATGGAACCGATGTGGCCATCGATTTTTGGGATTTGGATTATTAGGGAAAATGTTTTTTAGACTTTTAGGTTTTTATGAGAAAAGAGAGGTTGTAGTTGTTGGCTGAGAAAGAAAGAAAGAAAAAAAGAAAGAAAGAGAGAAGAAAAGAAGGTAAGAAAGAAAGGAAGAAGAGAAAAAGAAAAAAAAAATGAAAGAGAAAAGAGAAATGAAAGAAATGAAGGTTGTGGTTGTTGGCTGAGAAAGAAAGAAAGAAAGAGTGAAGAAAATAAGGTAAAAAAGAAAGGAAGAAGAGAAAAGAAAAAAAAAATGAAAGGAAAAAGAGAAAGGAAGGCTCAGTTTGGAAGCAGTACAAATGTAAATATGTACGTATAAATACATACAAAATAATACAAAATATAAGGTTTTGCACTCTATATATTTGCATTTGTACTCCTTCCAAACTCAGCCGAAAGAAAGGAAAGAAATGAAGGAAATGAAGGGAGAAAGAGGGAAGAAGAAGGAAAAGAAGGAGGAGAATTCAACGATTATAGGAGATGATGATACAATGGTGGTGACAACAAAAATGCAAATTTCAGATCTAAGATCTGATTTCTCTCTAGTCTCCAACCTCTACAATCTTCTACTTCTTCTTCATCTATCTACTGTATTTTGGGATTTAGTGATTTGAGATCTGAGATCATTTTTCTTCTTCTGTACTCACGAACCGCTGTCCGGGTTGAACGGTTCAACTGCCCAGGTCAGCAGTTCTCTGACCAAGTCAATAGGTTTTGGCAGCGTGTCAAGGATGAAAGAAACCGGTTGTCTGAACAATTTCCGGGCCAAACAGTCCAACCATCCAAATCAATAATGGTTCAAATACACGAGTATTTACAACTAAAATCAAAGACATGTAAATGTGAAACGATGATAGAATTTTATATCGATTCACATTTACACCACAATCAAGCACAACCTAAGCAATTACTTTACTTCAACGCCAAAAATGAAAATCCCCAAACTTGCAGTAGAGATTCAACTAAGTAATCATGATTTATGAATCTTAGTGTCAGATGTTCGAAGAAATCAAAGAAGTCTGAACATCCATTGCGAGTGAAGGTCTGCTTGAAGCTTTAGAAAAATATATCTCGATTAAACACTATTACTCCGTTGTGGAATTCCAGTAAGTTTCAAATATGAACTTAAACTACCATCAGTGGACAACCTTTTAAATGCCATTGGAATATGATCTTTGACAATCGAAGTGAAGGTTCGAAAAGGCTTCGTGAAGCTCCGTTAGATCCTAGATAATTTACTATTTAAGTCAAGATGCAAACGAATTCCATCTCCAGCATTCAAATCTTCCTCTTCTCCATCAAAATAGGCTTGATCCAGGATGATTTGAAGAATATGCTTTAACTATGAATTGCTTCAAAAAAGCCACCGATCTTACATCCAGTCGAGCTAAATGAAATTTATGAGAGTGAAGAACTAAAGCTTCTCTCAGAGATTTGGAATGGTTGGATGGACTATGCATTTATTTTTCTGTAATTTCTATTAATTTTTACGTTTTCAGTGTATTTTTATAACTCCAGTATTTTTTTTTTGCAATTTATGTCTTTCTTTTCAATTTTCATGTTTTTCCTTTTGTTTCTGTAATTTTTGCTTTTTATGCTTTTTCATAATTTCTATCATTTATCTTTATTTTCTGTGTTTTATCATTTCTCTTATATTTTCCTGCAATTTCTCAATTTTTGTTTTTTCAATATTTTATTACTTTTATGTAAATTTTTATTATCCTTTTCTGTAATTTGTGTTTTTTTTTTCACATTTTCTATGTTTTTTATATTTTTAATAGTTTTATTATTTATTATTATTTTTTGTATTTTCTATATTATTCTAGAACTTCTATGTTTTAATGGATTAAAAATAAAGTCTCAATTTAAAAAGAGTATAAATATAAATATATACAATACACATATATAAAATAATAAAAAATACAAGATTTTGCACTCTTTATGCTCCTTTGAAACTGAGGTTAAGGTTTTATTTGAATCCAATCCATTTAAGGTCCGTTTGGTTTGAGTCAGAATTGAAATCGGAATCAGAATCAAAATCCTCCGAAATTGGAATCGGAATGGTCCATTCCCATATTTTATTTGGTTCAGACAGGAATGAGATTTCATTCCCAAGGGAGTTACAGGGAACGGTCATTTCCTCAAATGGGAGAAAGCCATTCCAGCAGGAATGGGAATGGGATTCCGATTCCATCCATCCAAATAGTTGGACCATTCCGATTCCATCCATCCAAATAATTGGACCATTCCGATTCTGATTTCAGACCCCTATTCCCGCAAACCAAACGGGGCCTTAATTTTTGCTCAATGGGTCGTTAACGAATTTTTTTATAAATGGGTCACGGATTGGGTTGGGCTTGAAGCTAATTCCAAAGCCATCCAATTGCCACCCCTATTTATAAGCAACATGAAATACACCTATCTTGTGTTTCTCTGGTTGGTCCGACAGAGTATTCTCTACTGACTACACCGGAGAGGATTAACAAGCCTGGCAGTTAGAACTTTGAAGTTTGAACCCCTTCTTGTTCCTAATTCCAAACATATATCGTCATCATCTCATGCTTCTCTGGTTCAAGTTTATAGCCCTGCTGCGTTCCCGCCTTAGCTTGTCATTCTTGATTTCTCATACCCTACATACCATTGTACCTATACCACCACCAAAGAGTATCTCCAATCCCAAATTAATATCCTCTCTCCACCTGAACATCCAAATCCTACTAGCGCGATGTTCTTCAATGGCAGAACTCAAACATCTTCATGCTCAGATCATTGTCAATGGCTTGCTTCAAGAAAACCTAACTGTTGGAAAATTGATTGCCTTCTGTGCTATTTCCGATGCGGGCAATCTCAGCTACGCTCGGTTGGTCTTCGATCAAATCGCGGAACCCAATAGGTTCATGTGGAATAGTTTGATAAGGGGCTACTCAAAGAGCAATTTCCCAAGAGAGGTTTTTCCCCTCTACCACAGGATGAGAGGTTTAGGTCTTTCTCCCAATGAATTTACCCTCCCATTTGTTCTCAAAGCCTGTGCTTCTGAACTTGCATACAGGGAAAGCTTACTCATCCATGCTGACGCGATCAAGTTGGGAATTGGATCACAGGTTTGCGTACAGAACGCCCTTTTGAGTGTTTATACAGCTTGTGGATCGATTGAATCTTCTCGATCAGTATTTGACGATATTGTTGATAGAACTCTTGTTTCTTGGAATTCAATGATCGGTGGGTATTCTAAAATGGGTTTTTGTAAAGAAGCATTTTCTCTCTTTCAGGAGATGAGAGACTTGGGTTTGGAACCCGATGAATTTACCTTAGTCAGTCTTCTCTCTGTTTGTGCACAAACTGAGAATTTTGACTTGGGTAGATATGTGCATTTTTATATAGAAATTACGGGGACTAGTATCGATTTGTTTGTGAGGAACGCAATAGTGGATATGTATGCTAAGTGTGGGCATTTGCATTTGGCTCAAAAGTATTTTGATCGAATGCCTGACAGAAATGTGGTTTCATGGACTTCCATTGTCAGTGCTTGTGCTAGGAATGGCCTATTTGATCAGGCCCAAAAGATGTTTGATCAAATGCCTACCAAAAATGTAGTTTCTTGGAATTCCATGATTTCATGTTATGTCCAACACGGTAAGTGCAGGGAAGCATTAGATCTCTTCACTCAGATGCTCAATTCAAGAGTGGAACCTGATGAAGTGACGCTAGTAAGCATTCTTGCAGCATGTAGCCAAATCGGTGATTTGATAACAGGAAAGGAAACTCACATTTACATTTCCAATAGCAGTATAACCCCTAGCATTGCACTATGTAATTCCCTTATAGATATGTATGCGAAATGTGGCCCTGTTGATACTGCCTTGGATCTATTTAATCAAATGCCTGAGAAGAATTTGGTGTCATGGAATGTTATGATTGGAGGCCTTGCTATGCATGGGCGTGGTCTTGATGCAGTCAAGCTCTTTGAAAAAATGCTAAAGAATGGGGTTGCCCCTGATGGGTTCACTTTTGTTGGCGTGCTCAACGCTTGCAGTCACAGTGGCTTCGTAGACATGGGCAGATATTACTTTGACATCATGACTCATGTTTATGGGGTTCCCCATGAAATTGAACATTATGCTTGTATGGTTGATCTTCTTGGGCGTGGAGGGCACTTGGAGGAGGCAGTCAAGTTAATAGGAGGTATGCCTGTGAGACCTGATGTTGTTATATGGGGTGCTTTGCTGGGGGCCTGTAGAATTCATGGAAACGTAGAGATAGGAAAGCAAGTTCTGAAACAAATTTTGGAGTTGGAGCCACATAGTGGAGGATTACATGTGCTCATCTCAAACATATATTCTGAAGCTCAAAGATGGGGAGATGTGAAGAATGTGAGGAAACTAATGAAGGACAATGGGATCAAGAAGGATAAAGCACTGAGCGTGATTGAAATTGATGGCCATGTTCATGAGTTCATGGTTGAAGACAAGAGCCATGAAAACTCGAGCAATATTTATTCCATGATTTATCAATTGACAAATCATTTAAGGTCCATTGGGTATCTAAGCAACAACCCAGGAGTTCCGTTAGATGTAAACGAAATTTAATATTCTTGAATTCTTTCTCTGTTGTATTTATAGAATCATGATCAAATCAATATGCTTCACTTGGGACATTATTCTGCCAATTGAGTCAGAACCCTATCTCTTATAGCCTCTTAAATTTGGAGGCCTTTAAGGAAAGCTACAAGCCGAAGTGGGGAATCGTACCTAGATTATCATCTTTGGAAGAACTGGGACAACCGATGGAATTTCTGCAAGTTCAACAGAGAGTGACGAACCTTTTGAAGGATATATTCACATTCGACTCATTGAACACTTGCACTAGTGCGAAGATTCTGAAAGTTACTCATGCTACCATGGGAATGCTCGGGGCTTGAATACTCGTGCATGACTGCATTCATAATTTCATACACAAGGATGACAATTGACAACCTTTCGTTTTCACCACAGTAGACTATATTTGTAGTTTGACATTACGCATCCAGGGATTTCAACGGGGTCCGGTCTGATACAGGCTTGATTCAACCAGAACACGACAACGCACCCCAATCTGATCTTGATTCCTGACTGGCTGATTAAGCCAAATAGATTTATCGAACTTGACCCTATAGGTGCCAACCAACTGTTTGGTAAGGTCTGCTGATTGTAGTGGAGACATGGGGATCGAATCCCGCCTGCACCTGGCTTGGGGGGGGAGGTATGGGTTTGGGCTACACAATGGTTCACAAGATATCAAAAAAAAAAAAAAACAAAACAAAACAGAAACAAAACTAACTAACCTAGAACATTATCCTTATTATTAGTGCAGGCTATATTTACAATTTTTTCAATGTCACTGTTTTACCCATGATGAATGTTAATAATGCATTAAAGATCATGAGAAACATAGTTTTAATATTTTATTAGGAGGAAAAGCATAGTTTCAAGTCCTCTTCTGATCAAAGAAAGTTTTACCTACACATCATCAAAATATCTAAACCAACAAATCTGCATCTTCTTAATGGAGCCCCTCTTTTTTCGCCACAAAAAAAAAAAAAAAATCTAAGCCAACAAATCACAACACTTGATACAATATAGAAAGGAAAGAAAAATTTGGGAGAAATTGATGTCAATGGTCTGGGTTCGATGTGGATTAACCTCGACCCAAACCTTGATCCAAGCCCATTGATATCTCTACACTTGCTTGCCACTTCATTTTCCACTAATTTGGGAGGCTAGGAGTCTCCTCTCCTCCTGTTCCTATTTGTAAAGGATTAAAAAAATGAAGATAAGGGAAATCAATGACATTGTTATACTAGATATCTCAATTCCCAAATTATCTAAAACCATGAACGGGGTCTTTGAACCACTAGATGTGAAATAGGCGAGTCTCTCAGATGTATATAGGTGTCATTTCTTGCAGCCAGGGGTGTCAATTGGACTGGATTTGGTTCAATCCCATCCAGTCCAATGTGAGTCCATTACAATGGATCAGGTCCAATCCAATCTAATGACCATTTGACCCGGTCCAATTCAATGTCTGGACCATTTAATCTGTTCAAATTTGTTTTAGTTTAGATTAATTCTAACCCAAACCTGGTCCATTGACACCTATATTCTTATCCAGATATGGGCTCAATTCAACCCAATTCAATATAAATTCATTATGGATGGACCATGTCCAATCCAATCTAATAAATACTTTGGACCATTAAGTGTGGACTGGTCCAATTTAATTTGTCTTGTTGGTCCATCCAAATTAATTTTGATTTGTATGTGGTCCAATCCAAAACCGGTCCATTAACACCCCTACTTGCAGTTGGGGGAATCATCCATCCCCCCAACTCCCTATGCCTCAAAATCTCCACATTTATGATTTCTCCACTCTATGTATATTTCTCCCCTCCCCATATAAGGTTCCCCCCCTCATGATCCAATCCCCTCTCCAATTCATGTTAGAATTTGGAATCCCAAAAAGAAAAAAATCCTGGCTCCGCGACTGATTCCTTGGTTGCTCGGAAGGATAATTAAAACTTTTTATTATCTGAGAAATGATCCAATTACCAATGAAGAGAAAAATAATAATCCTTATAAAGCAATTGGCATGAGATGATGGCATTGGATTCCAGTTGGGAATTTCTAGTACCATTATTAATTGTCGTTGGAAGGAATTCTAAAGGGGATCAACCCTATATTCCTATATATAATCAGAGATTACAGGCTTATCAATCAATCAAAAACAATAATACATGTGCTACATCCAAATGGATAACGTTTGTTAGTAGTAAGCTAAGCTAAGCTAAGCTTCTTTAGCATATGCTATGGGAGAAGAATAATACTATGTCTTCATTATTCTGTCGAATATTTGGATGAAATATCTAATCTAAATTATATATACAATAAACAGAACTATTTATAAGCAGGGAATTTATTCCTGTTGTGTCATTCTCCACTTCAGCGACATAATGAACTATATTAAACATATGGCCTACTTATTCTCTTCTCCTCTCCCCCTCTTTCTTCCAAGTTCCAATTAATGGTTTGTGCAAAGTTTCCCATACTCCGCCTGCTTTGTTTTCAAAAGCTTCCTGTGTGTTGAAGAAAAGAGACAGGGCAAATTATAAAGGCATCGCTTTTAGCCCCCCYCCCCCCCCCCAAAAAAAAAAAAAACATTGATCCAGTGAGTATTACGAGTACAATTAATTAATTAATGTAGACGAATTCAGATCTTTGTCGGTTGGGCTGTAATCCTGCAAATCATTTTCCAATTTGGGTGTACAAGTTAATTCTTATTCTCCAAATATTTAAATATGAGTTGGATGTGGGCAGAATACTTGTATTGTACTAGTTCAAAAGCAATATATATATATATATATATATATATATATATATATATTTGAAACGACTTGACAAGAAATCTCATTTATCTTGGAAACACTTTGGTAGGTCATACCCATACAGACTTATATATTGAATTAAACCAGGTTATCCATAAATTACAATCATTCGGTGGAGATCAACTTGAACCGATCGAAAAACAATAATAAGGGGAAGAATTGGAATTCTTCATGGTGAACAACTACCTGCAGTCTATATATAGGACTATAGCTTCCACCACTAACTACCATTTACCAAGCATAAATCCCCACAGGCTTAAAAAACAAGCCAACCAGCAGTACTGTTGACTTAATATTCTTTCTTGCTACATATGACGACCCTCCCTCACCCTCATTAGAACCCTAACCTTGGGCTTTGGGTATCGGGTATCCAAACAAAGTACTTTTAATCTCTCTCTCTCTTTCTCTAAAAGTTTCCCCATTTGGCTTAATTTCCTTAATATATAGTTTCTTCTTCTTTCTTTCTTTTTCTCCGGCCCCAGAAGGAAAAAAAAAAAATTAAAAAGCCTTGTTACTATATAAGCATTCAAAGTTGAAACAGATTTGTATATATAAGTAAGGCAGCAGTGTTGGGCGTCATTCAGTTTTACCACCGACGCGATGAAATACGGAGAAATAAGCCATCTGAGCCATCCTCAGCACAAGCTAAGGTTTGAATACGCAGAAGCACCATTCAAGTGTGATGGGTGCAAAGAAGCCGGCATAGGCTCACGTTACAAATGTAACGTCTGTGATTTTGATCTACACATGCACTGTGCCCTTCCTTCTCCTTCCATCTCCCACCCCTTCTACACCAAATGTTCCTTCCAGTTCCTCCCTCGACCCCCCGGCGACATGCCACGATTCTGTAATGCATGCGAGAAGGACGTCAACGGATTCGTCTATCACTGCAAGTCCTGCGGCTTCGATCTCCACCCCACCTGTGCAAACCTCCCACGAGTGATCGAGGATGGAGAGGTGAAGCTCTACTTGTACAGGAAGCTCAGCTCTGCGTGCCACAAGTGTGGGAGGAAGGGGCGCAGCTGGAGCTACCGCTCAAGTTGCAAGAAGTATAACCTGCATGTGGCCTGTGCCAAGGAGATACTACTGGAGAGCTGGCACGACATTTATTTTGGGCGAGGAAACAGCAACAAGAAGTTACAGACTAGAATTCCTAGCCTGAAAGCAACATTTCACAACCATCACCTTACTAGGGGCGGTAAGGTGAAGAAGTGTTGTGAGATGGCTGGGATGGGCATTCAGTTCATTATCTCTGCTATTCTTGGTGATCCTACCTCTCTTATTGCTGGAGTTATTGGATCGTTAATGTCAAAATCATGACTCCTCCGTGCCGGCGACCGGTGGTTTGCTCACAATTCACAATATATCATATATCCCCTGTAAATTATCATGTAGTACTAATTAAAAGGGTCAATGGGGCCTCACAGAAAAGGTCTTGCATGGAAAGTTTGTAATGGACCTCCTTTAATCTAGAATATTTCTAATTAATAAACTTTGTCCTTTAAGGTGTAGTAGTAGTAGTAGTATTGTGCTGGATGATGGAATAGAATCTGAAATTTTCTCAAGAAAGCGAGTCATGTGCCATGTGTATATATGGTGGGACTTAAAATTTTGAAGGGGTAGGCTTTAAGAAATCAGAATCTGAAAGTTGGAATATGGAGCATTGATACCTTTTATCATGCCAAGCCCATTTCTTTACCGTGGCAAAGTTCCAAGGTAGCGTTTCTTTTGTTTGGTGCACGAGAATCCAGATGGGGGGTAGCATTCTTAATTAAGTTAAGAATCCTCAACAATGATATTCTTTAGGAAGCACATGAAGATTATTAATTCTTTCTCTTAAAGGATAAACTATACGTTTATTCTTTAGGAAGCACATAATAACCAAAGACTTCTGCCTCATCCGTCCATCTAAACAACAAACAAGGAATGGATCTGTCCAGCCTTGACATGTCTAACTCAGCCCCATCTATACTATGAATATGCCTGAACTAATTAAGGCTGAATTACTTGGATTGTTGTTTAAGAATTTTCGCCAGTTAAGCCTTTGACATATGGACGTTGCAACAATAATGACTACTACTAAATAATCAAGAGGAAAAACAGATAATGGATAACTTAAGAACAAATCCACAGGCCCAATTAGAGAGACCGAATTAGCACCCCCCCTCCCCCCAACGTCTTGCAGTACATCCCCGCCATATATTGGAAATATCTTCCGATGATGACATCATCATTTTTGATATACCATTCAGAGATGTTCCCAATACACATCGGGAATGTGTTGTGGGACGTTGTGGGGGGTTGATTTGAACTCACGATTAGATGCTTTGTTTTAAAAAATAAAAACATACATGTTGTCGAATACCCCTAAGTTTGTGTTGTTTTTCGGAAAATAAGTAGTTCTCAATTGCTAAATTGCTGAATGACATGTTTTTTTAAATTTAGAATCTTTGTAATATTCCACATTTATCTACTACTTTTATTAACCCTTCTTCCTTTTAACATGATGAGGGATAGGATGGACAACCTACAGGCTACGGTGGCCATCAGATATCTTACACGATGATCCATGTCAATGGACCGGTTTTGGACAAATTGGGTAGACCAATAAGACGTATTAAAGTGGACTAGCTCAAATTTAATGGTCTAATTTATTGGATTGTATTAGACCTGATGCATTCGTAATGGATTTATATTACATTGGGTCGGATTAAATTGATATCTGGTCCAGTGAAGAAGATAAGAATACAGGTGTCAATGGACCAAGTTTGAGTTGGAATTAATCTAAATTAAAACCAATTGAAACAGATTTGAATTGAACTGGTCCAAATTGGTTCAAAGTATTTATTGGATTGAATTGGACCTGGTCTATCTGTAATGAGTTCATGTTGGACCCGAATTGGATTGGATCGAATCCGGTCCAATTAACACCCCTATTTAGCAGGATCTTTCGTTGGAGATGCGGGTAGTTGAAAGTCTATGACTCTATGGTTTTCGGGGCTTTGGCAAGGTCGCCCCCCCGCCACCCCACACACTTTTTTTTATTTAAATTCACCTCACTAAGAAAAAGGCTGAGAGAGGAATGGTTGTTCTTTTGGTCAAAAACAGCTTGCCAAGTGGGGTTTTGGGTAATGCTGGTAGTTGGAACTTAGGAGTCGTGTGGTGGTTGGATGTCATGATAAAACAAGGTTTTTGGCAAGCTCTTCAGCACTGAAATTTATCCAACGAATAAAGTTAATCTAATGCTCCTTTTAGCCCCAAAAAGGTTGCCACGTGGAAAGTTCTTAACCCATCTGGACTGTCTGCTGAAAGCCAAAAGTTAAAACATGTCATTTGAGGGAGTGCCAGGTTGCAATATATATGTGGAAAGCGGGAAACTCATGATTCATGAGTATCTACAAACTTGGTTGGCCGTTTCCTATGGCTCAGTTTGGAAGGGGTATAAATATAAATATTTAGAGTGCAAAACATTGTATTTTGTATGTATTTATACTGTACATATTTCTATTTGTACTCCTTTCAAATTGAACCTATGAGAATATGGCCGAATCTTGACTAGCTCCCCTGAAATTGAGATAAATGAACAGATGATCCAGTTAGAGAAAGTGTGTAGAAGATCCATGAGGGTTCAGTGGGCCGTAACCATAATGTGGGGAAGGGGTGTCAATTGGACCATATTTGGTCCAATCCAATCCAGCCAATATTAGTCTATACAAATGGATCAAGTCCAATTCAATCTGATGAATACTTTGGACCATTTTGGACTGGTTCAATTTAGTGTCCTGACCATTTGATTTGTTCAAATTGGTTAATTTAGATTTGTTCCAATCCAAACCTGGTCCATTGACACCAATATTCTTTTCTTCTATCAATGGATTAGATATCAGTTCTATTTGACTGATCCAATCCAATATAAATCCATTATGGATAGACCAGGTTCAATCCAATCGAATAAGTACTTTGGACCATTAAGTCTGGACTGGTCCAATTCAATATATCTTATTGGTCCGACAATCCATCCAAATTGATTTTGATTTGGATGGGTCCAACTCAAAACCGGTCCATTGGCACCTACACCGTTGGGGTAGGTACCAGCTTGGAATTAATGCCAATTCACGGGCGGACATTGATGTATAGAATGAGAATTTTTGACATTTTGAATATTTATAGGTTTGCAGTGGAATGCAAAAATTTGCATTGGACCTGTCCGTACTTTTCCCTAAAAACTTTCCCAGCTATATTTCTGTCCTTTAAATTTAAAAGATTCCGTTTCCTTATCATTTACATCTAAACAAATTATAAAATGCTGTGGAAGGAGAAGGAAAATGGCTGTGACAGCAAGGATAAGGAGTGTTGTCGGTATAACGTTTAAATAGAAAAGAAAAGAAAAAAACCTCAATGATCGTAAGGAGCTGTTTTGACTATTATTTTAGACTCAGTTTGGCAAAAGTGCAAATACTAATATATACAGTGCAAATACAAGTTTATAATTTATAAATGCTGTATACAAGTTTTTGCACTGAATACCCTTGTATTTTCGTCCTTCCAAAACTAAGCCTATGAAAACAATTGACTTTCGGTGAACATCACCAAACAAAAAATGTAAACTTCTGTTTTTTTTCCTCAGAAACTTCCACCAAAATTTCAAGTTTTTCAGTTTTAGAATGGAATTAAAAGGGGATCAAAGTGAACAGGACAATCCCTTGTGTTCAGTCTGGCGTTTGCATTTACCCTAACAATACCTGCAACCAAGTAACTGAGCTATAGTTAAAAGGCGTAGCTAGAGAAGAGAGCTTACTGGAGGGGTCCTATTAGTTGATAATGCCAAGCACAATGAACCCCTGCCGTTCACCATCTTATTTGTTGATGTTAGATTATGTGTCAACTAGCTGTCCATTAAGGATTTGTGGAGAAATGGTATAGATGCACCATGAAAACTATCTATCAAAAAAAAAAAAAAAAAAGATACACAATGAAAACCATAAGACTATTATCCGGGTGATCAGTGAGTGGGGAATGCACAACTTCATTCATGTGGTATTTGGTACCCTGGTGAATGGTTTCAAACCTGGATTTGGAAGGGGGTTGGGGGGAATTGAGATCTGCTCCTCACACCGACTTCAGTTGCATCTTATCATATATTAGGAACATCTTCCATGAATAATAACATATAAGTACGGGAGATGTTTCCGATTACGGTTAAAACATGCTATGAGGTCGGTGTGAGGAGAAATCCGGACTCGGTTGGAGGAAGACTGTCCAGTTTTATAATTACTGAGCCTACTATGGTCGGGGATTGTGGGGGCTACCAGCAGAATAGTCAGAGGTATAGGTTTAGACGATCACCTTGCGGTTGTGGGAAGCCCACTGGGCTAGGCCATGCCATGAAGTGACATTTCTCCCTCCGGGACGAGTTCAAATCAGCCCCCCACCAGATTGCCCCTCACAATGTCCCACAGCACATCCCCACCGTGTGTTGTGAACATCTCCCGATGATGACATCATCATTTCTGACACTGATGATGTTCCCAATACATGGCGGGGATATACTGTGGGACTTTGTGGGGGACAATCTTGTGGGGGGCTGATTTGCTCTCCTCCGGGACTGGGTGTTCCCACTACATTTATTTATTGAGGCCTGAAGAACTCCCTCCAGAGTCCAAGCACGACAAGAAAGGAGGTAGTTCTGCGCTTGATAGAACTTTAAAGATTTTAAACGAACACCATTTAGAAGCCAAGCATGCAATGATAAAGCATTCTGACAGGAAGACTTGTTGGAGGTATCGCAAAAGTAGGGAGTTTTGACATCGTCAGTGAGTGAAGTTATGGGCTCCAAGCCTCTGATTTCCCGGCCGACTGTGAAACAAACGAACCTAAGAGAATGTCTTGTGTCTTCATTCAGAATTGGGGCTAAAGTGTAGAGAAGAGAAGGGGTAATTTTGTACTTTTAACCTTCTTTGTATGTATATTATTAGATGTGTATATTAGTGTCAAGCCCTGTACAACTGTCCTTTTGTTTCTTTTCTAAGGACAATCTTGTCCATTCATCTTTTAATATAAATATATCTTTTGAGAGCCTTGGAGTTCTCCGCTTTTCCCTTGTTTGTTTCTCTCTCTAAGGTTAACATAAAGCAGATCAATGCCATGTGGGAATAGGATTAAAATCAAAATCGCACCAAAATATTGTGTCACACTTGCATTAAACACAGGTAAAAAAACAGAGAAAATTATGTCATGGGAACTACATCAGCTTCTTTCACTCCGTCCACCGGATATTTGGATATTTCTAATGGGAAAACTCAACAGTCAACATACTGCTTGGCTGAGACCATCTCTGTATAGGAAGGGGTCGATCATTTACAGCATTCAAAACTACTAGCTTAGAAAACTAATCAAATTTCAAAGCAAATGCATTGCCAAGTAGCTCAACGATTAACCACTCATCCTGCTTTGTGCTCACGAACATCCTTTATCAGTAACTCCAGAAATAAATGAAGGATCTTCAGTACAATTCCATAACCACCGGTTTACCAAGAAACATGCTCAATATACATACATGTAGTCCCATGTAACCTAAACTTTCTCAATCAGTAGCTGACCAAACGAGTATCACTTCAGGCCTTCATTAGGGTGACGGGATCAGCCACAACGGTCCCTGGAGAAGCCTCTATCAAAAAAGGCTGCGAAGGTAATTGAACTCTAATGCTTAATAAAAAATTCGAAACATGAGATGTGCAAATATAGATATTGTTTTTCCACAAACATATCCATTCGTGGGGAAGAATTGAGGTGGCTTTCTAAATGGACACATACGCAGCATTGTACAAGTCTAGAAATTTTTTGTTCAAGCTGATGTATAACTTGGTTATGTGTCCATAAGTGGAGTGATCAGAAGGATTCTTGTGTCTTTGATGGCGAAGATAAACTCCATATGTAGGATTCTTCAACAAAGCGAGTGTCTAACAGATTCTAGTCTAATTCGGAGCTTACAGCACAGAATTCTATGCAGAACAACTATCTTTCATAACGGACAAATTTTGTTATGAGAAAAGAGAAAAATATACAACAGATGAAAGAAAGACATGGCAGAACTTCAAGAGGAGCATTTTTTTTTTTTTCAAATGTCAATTAATTTCAGGAAATATGCTAACAAACACGCAAGTAGTATACAAGACAATGATTTCCAAAATCCTGCAAGTATACTGTATTTCATTTAGAAAAGACAAAGAAAGGAATTCTAAGTGCATGATCATCCTAGCACTCCAATTCTAAGAAAGGATATTGGAGATGAAGGCCATGAAGCACAATTCAACTTCACCTCCTTGAAATCAGTGGCAAGGTATCAACTAGCTAGTTGGTAAGGTCTCTAGCTGGTTGTAGTGGAGAGACTTGGGCTCGAATCTCACCTGTACCAGGGTTTGGGGGAAGTGCTACCCAAGATCGGCTTCAGTCAGTGCAATGTAAGGTTGAACAGCCTTTATAGCCTTGCATTGGGAATATCTCCATACTTATGTTTTTTATTTCATGGGGAGATATTCTCAATGTAAGGTTGCAACAGACTGTGCGGAACGGTGTGAGCACGGGCTTGCACTGACTGAAGCCGGGCTAGTGCTACCCCCCCCCCCCCTCCAGGGATTGTATATGACGCTACAAAACTACACCCAAGCAGTTCTGGAAAGATGCTAAAAAGATATCAACAGTTCCTGAACACGTACAAAACAAAATGATGGATTGAAAGAGATAGCGTCATACAAAAAGTAAAAATCTCCAACTCCCAAAACCTAACCTCAATCTGAGAGAGTGAGGTATATTCAAAAGTCAGCTAAGAGCATTGAAATCCAAAGTTCTTGGATTCCCATTTCAAGAACTGTAGTCATCTGAATATGAATTTCTTGAAGCTCAAGATAAATGACAGACAAGAAGTGCACAAAGCTACAAAGGGTATAAACCACTATAATACATTTTATAATAGACTGTAAAATGGATAAGTTTGACCCACCAACCCATCTGATACCCAACTAAGAGAAATTAACAGTACAGAGTATAATGCTCAAACATGTATCACACAATGTGATGATGGATGTAGGAATATGAATCATCAATCCTCAAAATCCATATGCTGAAACCATAGTTTAATCTTTCTTCCTTTTTCTCTTTCACTACAGATGGATTAAAGAACAGAAGAGGATTTCCCCATAAAGAAAAAGGATCACATGAACATACAATTATAGAAGTGACAACTCCTTCCATAAAATTTTGAAAAGAGAAAAAGGTAAGAAAAGAAAAAAATCAGATACACAACACCCCTAAAAAGAGGGAACCAAATCAGATAAAATTCTAAAGATAATACAACCTCTTTATATATAATTCATTTTCTATTATGAAAATCCAAAGGAAAAATAAATCAAACACATTATGGGGAGAGACAGCATCAAGTATACCTTCTCCTGAACATGATGGTTCAAACTAAGCTGTGGCAGGTGGGATTGGTTTTACACCTACTTATGGTTGTTGCTACTCTTCTTCTTCAGCAGACTTCCAAACTTCCGGAGCAATGGTTTTTTCTTCTTTTCTGATTGCTGCTTTGTTGGAGAGCTGCCCCCATTGTCCAAGTTCTCCAATGCTGAGCCATTTACCTGATCAAAGCCCTCACCATCAACCTTTGAATCACGTTCCTCTTCAAAGGATTCTGGTTCATGCTCCCCCTCAGGCAACAAGTCTTTCTCTCCAATCTTGCATGTCTCCCACATCTTAGCCTCCACCTTTACTGAGTCATGTTCTTCTTCTTCATCTTCTTCTTTCTTTTCCTCATCTTTGGGGTTTCCAATTCCATTCTCCATCTTCTGTCCGACAGGAAGCTTTTTCTCATGGGCTTGATCTTCATCTCCCTGAGGTACTTGAGATGAAACTTCATGCTTGTGCTTCTCCTCTATTCTTCCACCTCCATTCTCCTCAGTGAATTCTACCACCTTTGGGAGCAAATCATAATCTTTTTCACTATCCGAAAGCTCTACATGTTCCTCATTCTTTGTCTTAGAATATGCTTCTTCAAGCAACTTGGATAACTCTTCAGCTTTCTGCAGTGCTGCTGTCTCTCTCAACCGAAGCTCCTCATTCTCTTGAATAATATTCTGAAACTCATTCTCTTTGTCCAGCAATCTCTCCCTCAATTTCAGATTTTCACCTTTTGCATCTTCCAGAGCTTCTTCCAAAGAACTAGCTTTGGATCCAGCTAGCCTTAGGGTACTCTGAAGTCGAGATCCTTCCTCCTTTGCAGCTTGAGCTTCTTCTTCAGTTTCTCTAAGTAAATTAACCACTCTATCCATTTCTCTTTTCATGGAAGATGTTTCTTCTTCTGATTGTCTTAAACAATTCACCAAATGGAGTTCTTTTTCATCCCACTCAATCTTGCAGTTTTTGTATTCGTGATTGGATTGCTCGAGGGTGCTTGTAAGAACATCAATCTCATGTTTTGCCTCATCAAGCATGGATTCATATTTCTCATTTGTTTCTTTTAGAAGAAACTTCAAGTTTTCTATCTGGGACACAGAATTTTCAAGCTCAGTTTGATTGGACAAAAGCTTCTCTTTGGCTTCCCTGGCTTCAGAAGAGGCTTCTTGTACTGCTAAAGCTAAGCTTTCCATTGCATTTCTACTCTTCTCTTCTTCGTCTCTGGAGGCTTCCAATTCACTAATGAGTTTGCTCTTTTCCTCCAGCAGACTCTGAACATTTGATGCTGCAAGGTTCTCATTGTTCAGAGCTTGCATTTTCTCCTCCTTCACAGTTTCAAGTTCAGTTTTTAGAGACTCAACCACTTTTTCCATTTCTGATGCTTCTTGTTTAACCATGTCAAGATGCTGTTCTGCTTCTTCAAAATCTCTTTTCTGTCTTTCAATTGACATCTCCAAGGACTCCACCTTCGCTCTAAGAGAAGTAACCTCAGATTCTGTATCATTCAACAAAGCACTATTGGCCTCTAGTTGTCTCATCAATGAAGCCAGAGATTCTGAAGCAGATCTCTCTGATTGTTTTGCTTCCTCAATCCGAATCTCCAACTCTTTGGCCTTTTTCTGCCATTCCTCAATTAAAATTTCAGCATCTGATTCAGCCCTTTTTGCAGTTTCTACTTCTACCCTGAGTTTTTCAACCAAAGCTTCTTTGTCAGCTAATTTCTCCTCCAAATCTTTTGCTCTCTCAAGTTCTTGCTTCAGAGAATCCACCTCAGAGTTCAGCTTCTCTACCAACTCAGTGGTCTTGTTAGCTTCTGTCTCCAACTTTGAATCAAGCAAGGCTTTTAACCGGCTTATCTCAGTAGATAGGAACTCCACTTTCTCAGCATGAATTTCAGCAATCTTGGTTGCATCATCAGCATGGCTAAGAGCTTGGTTCTTTAAATCAGTGGTCATGGCCAATTCCTTTTTAGCCCGTTGGAGCTCTTCAGTGGTAGAGAGCAAAGCAGCTACATCCACAGCATGTTGGTTTCTAACAGCTTCAATTTCCTTCTGCCATTCCTCTTCCCTTTTATGAGCAGCCTCAATACCCGCCTGCTCCAACTCATCAGCTCTAAATTTTTCAATTTCAGTGTTTTCCTCAGCTCGCTTCTGAGCAACCAAGGCCTCCCCAAGCTTCTCATTTGCCTCTGCAGCCAATCTCTTGGCTTCTTTCAATTCCTCAAGAGCATGATCTTTCTCTTTCTCAATAGAAGCTAATCTCTCTTTTGCCTTCTTCAAATCTTCCTGAGCAAGACTCAATTGAGCTTGTAGTTCCGATCCCTTCAGCACTCGTGGTTGTTTCTAAAATCAAGACCAAATGACAATGCCAATGAGAAGCCAAAGAAATTCCACAAAAAAAAAAAAACAAAATTGAGGATATCCAGCTTTTAGATTCTAGATATTGTTGTACGACTTACATCAGGAGTAACAGTAACCCTTGGGGATCGCCGATCTACCGCAGGCTTTGAGTCAACTGATCTGGGCGATCGGTCAATTGAAAGTCGTGGATTTTGCAGAGGAGAAGGTGAATTAGCATCTGATTTAGTAATTCCCCTGCCCAATTTGCTAACCCTTGGAGTTGCTGGTGAGGTCTTGTTGTGTGAACCTTCTTTATTGTGAGAAGCTTCTTTGTTATGTGAAGCTTCAGATAAACCAGATCTGTTCAAGAGCCAATACTCATATTATGTAACAAGATCAAATCCCTCCGAGGAGAGCAAACAGAAAAAACAAAGACGGTAGCAAGCAATTAAAAAAAAATAGAACGCAAGGAAATTCAGAATCAAAACAAAGGAAAAACCAAAGCAGAGTAATATGGAGAAGCCTACTACCAGACCAAGTCCACATAAGAGTCATTTAAAAAGCAATACTGGAAAAAATGGAAAGAAACCTAGATAGGAATAACGAGCATAAAACCAAAATGAGAGACAATTAATAAAATTGGACTGAGAACCAATAAAACCATAAACGGTGCATACACATCTCAACAAGATCAAAACTACCAAGAAAAAAAGAGGGGCCAGTTACGGATCGAGTCCACACTGAGGGAGAAAAGGCGAAAAATGCAATCTTGAACTAAAATCAGAAAGAAATATAAAGCTCGGAACAGATTTCTGCAAACCAGATCCAACATACCTTGGAGAAAAGTCTAAGCATAGAGTTTCAAATGATTAAGAAGCCAAAAAAACAGGTATAGATATAGATTGAGATAGATAGAGAGAGAACAGTAAAAGAAAATTGCAGGTTGAAATAATAAATAATATTCAAACCGGAAACGGTAATCAGATCTGGAAAGACGATAATACTTACTTGGTTTTGGAAGAAAGCATGGCGGGTAACAGAACAGAGAGAGACTAAAGATCCACAAGCAAACAAGGTTGAAATGGAGGTGGAGAAGGCGCAAAGGAGCTTCTAAAATGGCGACATTGTAAACAGATTAAAAGGATTCCTTTAAGAGTTGAAAGAGATTTCTCAGATAGCAGAAGCTAAATTTTACAGGTAAAATTATTTCATCGCTAGGTCTGCCTGTGGACTACCCAGAAAGAAGCTGTACTGCCCACATGACACTATCTCTCTTTCCTCTCTCTCTCTCTCTCTCAGGATTACAAATGACTATAACCTTCCTTTTCGGAGCTGAAGACTTACGAAACTACCAAATTACCCCTACTTTTTTTCCGTAAGGAGGAACTCTCTGCTACCCGACATGGATTGCCCTCTAAGTTTCCAAGAATAACAGAGATGCCACCTCCCCAGATCCAGAATTCCAATCCAGATAATTATAAAGAAAAAGAAACTAGAAGTTTGTATTGAGTCTATTGAACAATCAATTAACACCCCAATGACAAGTAAATTGGGCTGTAAGGTTTGACAAAAAGGCGAAACTAACCTTGAATATGTTCTTGGAAGTGGGTGGATGTCTGGTGATGCGTCCACTACCATAGCCCCTCATTCGTCTTTTGAAAAAAAAAAAAAAGAAAGTATTGGCCGATAATTAGATCTCTGTCTTGTTAGTAGCGTTGATAGGTATGACTGACCAACCAAGTCGGTTTCTTTGACAAGTTTAAGTTAAAAAGAAAGTCATGAATCAATTATTAAGTACTACTATATTAATGAAATCATGGGATCATTCCCATTAATTAATTTGTTTTATTCAAGAGATGTTCGTATGGTATGATGTGTTTGGTCGAGCCTGCTCGGTCATATTCGAACCGGGATGCAAAATAAAGCTAAAAATAACACAAGGGTATTAAATTATTTTAAAAAATAGGGTTTTTTGTTTTTATTTTTTGAAAAGGGAAAGGGAAAACATTATAAAATTAAGTGGGAGAGTATTTATGCTGGGCACGAGAATCGTGGCGGGCAAAGAAAAAGAATTTGAGAAATACAATTAGTGAATTCCGCCTTTTTAGCCAGGCCTGGGGGGATGGGAGGGCAGTGACGTTGCGCATTTTAATGAACCGTAGTATGACGAATTTGCCCCTGGTTGTTTTCTATATCTTATCTATTTCAGGTATTTTCCGAATAGATATGTCATTGTAATGGATAGACTATAGTGATATCCACATGAGATGATTCAAGAAAATATCTCCTCGTTAAAACGTTTAACAGGGAGTAGCACTGGCGATATATGTGAACCTCTGGGCAATCCATGTGATATCATGGGCCACAGATCACAAAGGATGAATGAAATATCAATTTTTTTATGACCCAAAAAATAATAAACAAATATCAATTACATTAGCCAAACTGTTCGATCTTCATCTACCCAGATGGACCGTAATTAATTTGAAGCTCATTAATTTGTCATAAGTCGGATTATCCAATTTGAATAATTTCAATTTCAGTAGAGACGGGCTTCGGTCAGTGCAAGTCCGTGGTGCTTACACCGTTTTGAACAGCCTCTTTCAACCTTGTATTGGGAAATAAATCACAGAGATTCCTAATGCAATGGTGTAAAGGCTGTTGGAACGGATGTTGCACTGACCAAAGCTGAATTTACATGCAAGAAGACTCCTGGAGGATGAGCTCACATCCTCTGCATCCATGTTGCAGAAAAATTTCTACAACTATTAAACTTAACGGAGTCAAGGCCATTTGGACTAAAAAAAATCCCGCTTCTCAAGTTTCAAATCTCTCCAGTCTCCCCTCGAACTCCTCTCTCTCTCCAATCGCCTCTGCCTCTCAGAATACTGCAACTGTGAAGGTCTACCACTGCAAACACGGAGTGTCACCGTCTCCGATTCTTCTGTGAACGTTGTTCTACTTCCGGTTTCTGTCCTTCATCCCGACTCCACCATCTAGCAAATGATCCCATCAAATAAAACAAGCCAGTTCTTAATTGTCTCTCCTATTGTGCAGATCTCATCACAAGGCATGATCATAAATGTAAAAGCTGGACATGACTCATTTGTATAATTTAGTGTCTAGTTCTCTCACCCAAAAGCAAAACAACGAGATTTTGACGGCATCACTAATTGTTAAAAACAAAAGTTGAAGCTTAAGCCATTTGAAAAACAAGATTTAAGAACACCTAATCTCTATGCTTAACCCACCTGAATTCACTCTCCGCTCTCTTCTATTGACACTGCGATGAATTGAAAATCAAAGAGTCAATCCAATCCTTAATTGAGAAAATCCTTCTTGCCCCATACTCCGGTATCCAAACCAGACCAGCCACCTCAAACTGGTCTCTCTTTAGTCTCTCACATCCAGAAACCCGCGGTACCAATGGATCAACATTTATGGGTTCCTTCTGGATGACATTGACGACAGCAAAGGGAAAGGGGCGTTGTGATTCAGCAACAAGACAGTCCTTATCCCGTTATTGGGTTTTAGTGCGTTCAAAGGTGTAGGAATAGGATGAGAATAATCGAGCCTTGTTTCTGGGTTATCTTTGCTTTCGTATTGAGTGCAATAGTATTAAAGAGGAATGGATTTAAAGATTTCATGGATCTTTTATATGCGATGCTCCACGGTTGCAGCGGCAGACCTTCACAAGGTTCCAAAACGCTGCCAGAACTTCTCAGAGTGTGCTTCACACTAGAGTTTATCAACCAAATTCCAACATTACAATCCTAGCCATATCTTGGATTGAGGGAAAGAGAGGGAGAGAAAGAAGAAAAAACAACATAGGAGCTACTACTAAGTTTAAGGTGGTAATGAAACAGGGGGGAAGTAAAGGAATGAAGGGGAAGGAGGAGAGAGAGAATCAGGGGCAGAGGACCTCGGGTACCACCGTTGTTTTGGTTGGATAATTTTTATTGCACAGATGAGTAGCGGAAGAGGATCTTGACGCAGTTGATTGAGAGGTTTGGATACAAGAAACTTAAGTGGGTTGTAGGGGAGAGGTTGATTAAGGTGGCGTTTGATAACACTTTTCAGACGTTTGAAGTCTGAAATATCTGTTTTTCAGATGCAATGCTTATTTGGTATTGCATGTGAAATATGATCTGAAAAGTTTTTTTAGATCTAAAATTTTAAGACTCAGGCCCGTCACTTAATGCACATAGACATGGCCTAAAGTCAAAAATACCCCTACCCCATTCTCTCTCTCTATCTCTCTCCCCTGTCTTCTCGCTATCGTCACTACAAGTTGCAGTGGTGGTGGTTTTGTCTCTCAAGAGGGTGAGTATTAATAATAATAATTATTATTATTATGAATTATAAACAATTTTTTACTAATTATTTATTATTAATTATTTTAATATTTTTATTAAACATTACTTATTTTTTATTTTTTTCACTTGTGTTATTTATTAATTATTAATATTTTTATTAACTAGTAATTTGTAATTATTTCATTAATTTTTAAAAATTATTTTAAATTTTATTTGTGTAAATTATTAATTATTAATTATTTTAATATTTTTATAATCATTAATTATTTTTTTATTTTAATTATTTCATTTTTTAATTAATAGTTTTTTTTATTTATATTATTTCAATATTATTTTGAAGTTGAAAAATATTTTTATGAGATAATGTGAATTGAACTCAACATTTCCAAATAGTATGTTATAAGGGTAAAATAGTAAAATCAATGGATTTCAAATGGTAAAGGGTTGATCCAACACAAACAAACTTATGGATTCAGAAACTCTAAAAAGTATAAAAGCACATATGCTTCTTTTCAGATTTCAGACTATCTTTTTAACTTTTTAGATTTCAGGTTTCAAATTTATCAAACGCCACCTAAGATTCTTTCCAACACACCTCTTTCCATGCAAAATCTTAACTGAAGCATTCTTCAAGATTCAACGGTTACCGATGACGATAGTGAAAGCATAGTGGTTGTCCTTTAGATCCTCCTACTTGGCCTCTTCGGTAACTTGAGCAACAATTGAATCCTTTTCCTCTCATTTCTTCAATTCCTTATCAGGTACAATGGACGGGAAAACAATATATGATCAAGTATTGGAGAACAGGTTAAAGGGGAATGGAAGCATTTTCCGGTTGATGTTCGCCATGTAGTGCAGGTCCATCGGGTTCATTTTGTCTGACCAACGAAAATTTGTATAATGATTTAGCTTGAGGGTTTTTTTTTTTTTTTGAAAATTTGAACCAAAATAAAGAGCAAATTTGATATTTCATTTTTTTCCATTAGAATTTAACGATAATAACAATGGACAGAAATAGTAGGGGTATTTTAAGACAATATATGAACAGTAAAGGTAAAGTTTGTCAATTAGATAAAGAGTAGAGTAATTTAAAAAATTTGCCCTATTAAAATTAATGAACCTAAATTCATAAATCTTAAAATTTATAAATAAAAAAAAATTCATAAAATTAAAAACAAATGAACCTAACCTAACACTTAGGTTGAGTAATTGAATTTCTCAACCCAATCCAAATTGCACTCATATCATCAACCAATTCACTAGCAGTCATAGCTAAGGTGTAGTTAAAGTGATATGAATACATATATGAAGCGAGTAATAATTTCAAAGACCAAATTAAACGTGCTAATCATCGATGTATCAAGGAAAAAATTATGATACACATTGTGAAACGTGAACTCGAGCTGGTGACACCTTATAAAAATATGAACTGATAAAAAAAATAAATAGACATTAGATGATTTTTTTGTACAAAGATCATATAATAGAATTAAATCTTAATGCATACACACCTATCAGCCTTCATTGCGTATTACAAAGATGTAATATATAAAAGAAAATTAATAAAATCAGAATGAAATGTTGACAAGCATGAACCTTGAGGCGATAAAAAAAGGCAAATTTCTTAAACTGCCTTTATGGTTTAGTTAATTGACTAACTCTATCCTTATTGTTTATATATTATCTTAAAGTATCCTTACTGTTTCTAACAATTGCCATAGTTGATAAGTGTTAACAAAAAGAAACAAAATGTGAAGTTACTCTCCACTATTTCCTCAAATTTTCAAAATAAAACATAACTGATGAAAATTTTGCCCTCCCCTCTTCCTTTCCATCTTCCTTTCTTGCCATAGAGTCTCTGTTCATCGTCTTCTACAACAAGAACAGAGGAATTGCAACACCTTTCTTGCTTTTTCGTTCCTTGGGCAAATCCAACTTCGATTTGTCTCTAAAGTTCAACCTTTCAACCATGAAGGCAGCTTTTCCATTAGTAG